CTGACAGGAGAAAGATGGTATCTCAGAGATGTTTTGATTTGCATTTCCCTGATGGCTAAGGATGTTGAACACTTTCTTATGTGTCTTTCAGCCATTTTATATTCCTCTATTGAGAATTGTCTGTTTAGTTCTTTACCCCACTTTTTAATTGGGTTGTTTGGTGTTTCGGAGACTAGTTTCTTGAATTCTTTATAAATTTTGGAGATCAGCCGTTTGTCAGATGTGGGGTTGGTGAATATATTTTTCCAGTCTGTGGGCTGCCGTTTTGTCTTGTTAAATATGTCCTTTGACTTACAGAAGCTTCTCGGTATCGGAAGTTTCCATTTATTAATTGTTGATCTCAGTGTCTGTGCTACTGGTGTTATGTTCAGGAAGCAGTCTCCTGTACCAATTTTTTCAAGGGTATTTCCCACTTTCTCTTATAAGAGGTTCAGTGTGGCTGGAATTATGTTGAGGTCATTGATCCATTTGGACTTAAGTTTTGTGCATGGTGATAGATGTGGATCTATCTGCAGTCTTCTACATGCCAGCATCCAGCTATGCCAGCACCATTTTTTAAAGATGCTTTCTTCTTTCTATTGTATAGTTTTAGCTTCTTCTTTTTTTAAATCAGCTGTTCATAGGTGTGTGGGTTTTCAATTTGATTCCATTGGTCGACCTGTCTACTTTTGTGCAAATACCAAGCTGTTTTCAGGACTATAGCTCTATAATAGAGCTTGAAGTCAGGGATGGTGATGCCTCTGAAGGTTCTTTTATTGTACAGGGTTGTTTTGTCTATCTTGGGTCTTTTGTTTCTCCATAGAAAGTTGAGTATTGTTCTTCCAAGGTCTGTGAAGAATTGTGTTGGGGTTTTGATGGGGATTGAATCTGTAGATTGATTTTGGCAAGATTGCCATTTTTACTATGTTGATCCTACCTATCCAAGAGCATGGGAGATCTTTCCATTTTCTGGTATCTTATTTAATTTCTTTCTTTCAAGTCAAAGTTCTTGCTATACAGGTCTTTTTCTTGTTTGGTTAGTGTTACCCCAAGATATTTTATTTTGTTTTTGGCTATTGAGAAGGGTGATGTTTCTCTGATATCTTTCTCATTGCATTTATCATCTGTATATAGTAGGGCTACTGATTTTTTTTTAGTTAATTTTGTATCCTGCTACTTTGCTGAAGGTGTTTATCAACTATAGGAGTTCCCTGGTAGAGTTGTTTTGGGTCACTTATCATGTGCAAATAGTGAAAGTTTGACTTCTTCCTTTCCAATTTGTATCCCCTTGATCTCCTTTTGTTGTCTTGCTGTTCTAGCTAGAACTTCAAGTACAATATTGAAGAGATGGAGAAAGTGGACAGCCTTGTCTTGTTCCTGATTTTAGAAGAATTGCATTGAGTTTCTCTCCATTTTAGTTTGATGCTGGCTGTAGTTTACTATATATTCCTTTTATTATGTTCAAGTATGTTCCTGTTATCCCAGGTCTCTCCAGAACCTTTAGCATGAAAGGGTGTTGGATATTGTCAAAGGCTTTTCAGCATCTAATGTGATGATCATGTGGTTTTTCTTTTGCAGTTTGTTTATATGGTGGATTACATTGATGGATTTTCATATGTTGAACCATCCCTGAATCTTTGGGATGAAGCCTGCTTGGTCACGGTGGATGATTTATCTGATGTGTTCTTGGATTTCATTTGCCAGTAATTTATTGATTATTTTTGCATCAATGTACATGAGGGATATTGGTCTGTACTTCTCTTTCTTAGTTGTGTCTTTGTGTGGCATGTGTACCAAGGTAATTGTAACCTTGTAAAAAGAGTTTGGCAATGACCCTTCTGCTTCTATTGCATGGAACAGTGTGACGAGTACTAGCATTAGCTATTCTTTGAATTTCTGAAAGAATTCTGCACTGAAACCATCTGCCCCTGGGCTTTTTTTTTTTTTTTTGGTTGGGAGACTTTTAATGACTGCTTCTATTTCTATTATTAGGGATTATAAGTCTATTTAAATTATTTATCTGTTCTTGGTTTAATTTTGGTAAGTGATATCTATTCAGGAATGGTCCATTTCCTTTAAATATTCCAATTTTGTGGAGCACAGGTTTTCAAAGTATGACTTGAGGGTTCTCTGAATTTCCTCAGTGTCTGTTGATATGTTCCCCTTTTAATTTCTGATTTTGTTAATCAGCATGCTCTCTCTCTCTCTCTCTCTCTCTCTCTCTCTCTCTCTCTCTCTCTCTCTCTCCCTTTTTGTTAGTTTGGATAAAAGTTTGTCTATCTTATTGATTTTCTCAAATAACCAACTCTTGGTTTCATTGATTCGTTGTATTGTTTTCTTTGTTTCAACTTTATTGATTTCTGTCCCCAATTTGATTATTTCCTGAAGTCTACTACTCCGGGGTCAGTTTGTTTCTTTTTGTTATAGAGTTTTCAGTTGTGCTGTTAATTCTCTAGTGTGACTATTCTCCAGTTTCTTCATGTGGGCATTTAGTGCTATGAACTTTCCTCTTGGCACTACTTTCAAAGTGTCCCATAAGTTTGGGTATGTTGTGTCTTCATTCTCATTGAATTCTAGAAAGTCTTTAATTTCCTTTTTATTTCTTCCTTGACCCAGGAATGATGCTATTGTGCATTGTTCAATTTTCCTGAGTTTGTAGGGTTTCTGAAATTTGTGTTGTTGAATTCTAACATTAAACCATGGTGATCTGATAGGATACAGGGGATTATTCCAATGTTTTTGTATCTGTTGAGATTTGCTATGTTGCTGAGTATGTTATCGATTTTTGAGAATGTTCCATGTCGTGATGAGAAGAAGGTATATTCTTTTGTATTTGGATGGAATGTTCTTTAGATGTCTGTTAATCCCACTTGGGTCATAATGTCTGTTAGTTCCTTTATTTCTATGTTTAGTTTCTATCTGGTGGTCCTGTCTAGCGGTGAGAGTGGGATGTTGAAGTCTCCCAATATAAGTGTGTGGTGTTTAATGTATGATTTGAGTTTTGTAATATTTCCTTTACAAGTGTGGGTGCCTGTGTATTTTGTACATAGATGTTCAGAATTGAGACTTCATCTTGATATATATTTTCCTGTGATGAATATGAAATGGCCTTCTTCATCTCTTTTGATTGATTTTAGTTTGAAGTCTAATTATTCATATATTAGGTTAGCTATACCAGCTTGCTTCTTAGGGCCATTTGATTGGAAAAAATCTTCTCCCAACCCTTGACTCTGAGGTAGTGCCTGTCTTTGAAGGTGAGGTATGTTTCTTGTATGCAGCAGAAGAATGGATCCTGCTTTTTAATCCATTCTGTTAGTCTGTGTCTTTTTATAGGTGAGTTAAGACCATTGATATTAAGGGATATTAATGACCATTGATTATTATTTCTTGTTTGTTTTTTATTTGGTTTTGGTGGTGGTATTGTCTGTGAGTTTTTCCTCTATTTCTGGCTTTTGGTAAAATGAGATTATTGATTGACTATGTGTTACGATAAATCTTTCCACCAAAAGCCACCGAGCTCCACCACCACGTGTACGCTTTATGCAAGCTGCCCGCCCGAGTTAGGCCCAAATGAATACACAGAAACTTGTATTAGGTTCAAAGCTGTTTGGCCAATGACTAGGATTCCTCATCTGTTAGTTCGGTCTTAATTATCATACATCTATATATGTTATAAGACTTATCTTATCAGACGCCTTGTTGGCATCCCTCCTGGTCGGTGGATCACATCGTGCTGCTGGAGCAGGAGCAGAGGGGAAAAGAAGGCCCCTCCTGTTTCTCCTTCACTTAAATATGAGTCTCCTTGCTATGTCACTTCCTGCCTGCATCAGCACTTCTCTACCACATTTCCCAGAATCCTCTTTGACTCGTAGTCCCGTTTACTTGTTGTCTCATTGGCCAAACAGTATTTTATTTAACAATCAATAAGATAAACATACACAGTACATTTCCCCATCACCTATGTTTTCTGAGTGTAGTTGACTTCCTTGGTTTGGAGTTTTCCTTCCACAACTTTCTGTAGGGCTGGATTTGTGGATATGTATTGTATAAATCTGGTTTTGTCCTGGAATATATTATATTCTCCATCTATTGTGATTGAGAGTTTTGCTGGGTCTAGTAGTCTGGGCAGGCATCTGTGGTCTCTTACTGTTTGTAGAGCATCTATTCAGGACCTCCTGGCTTTCAGGGTTTCTATGGAGAAGTCCAGGTGTAATTCTAATAGGTCTGCCTTTATATGTTACTTGGCCTTTTTCCTTAGCTGATCTTAATGTTTATTTTTTTATTCTGTATGTTTGGTGTTTTGATTATTATGTGGCGTGGGGACTTTTTTGTTCCAGTCTATTTGGTGTTCAGTAAGCTTCTTGCACTTTTATAGGCATGTCCTTCTTCAGGTTAATAAAGTTTTCTTCTATGATTTTGTTTAATATGTTTTCTGCATTTTTGATCTGGATTTCCTCATCTTCTTCTATACCTATTATTCTTAGGTTTGGTCTTTTCACAGTGTCCCACATTTCCTGGATATTTGGTGTTAAGGATTTGTTGGGTTTATTTCCTCTAGTTTATCTTCAGTGCCTGAGATTCTGTCTTCCATCTCTTGTATTCTGTTGGTTATGCTTGCATCTGTAGTTCTTGATCATTTACACAGCTTTTCTATTTCCAGCATTCCCACAGTTTGTGTTTTCTTTATTGTCTCTATTTCAGTTTTCAGGTCTTGAATTGTTTCCTTCATCTGTTTGATTGTTTTTTTCTTGGCTTTCCTTGCTTTCTTTAAAAGATTTGTTGATTTCTTAAATTTTTTGGTTTGTTTTTTCTTTCATTTCTTTAAAGGATTTTCTCATATCCTATTTGAGGACTTCTATCATTTTCATGAAGCTGTTTTTAAGGTCATTCTCTTCTGTTTCATCTGCATTAGGATGTTCAGGTCTTGCTGGTGCAGAGTCTCTATACTAAGGTGGTGTCATATAAGTCTTTCTGTTATTGGATGTGTTCTTATACTGTTATCTTCCCATCTCTTCTTCCAGTGGGTGTAGGTGGGTCGCTCCCTCTTCTGATGGATATGGGTTCACTCTACCAGCTCACTCTACCAGAGGGTGGAGGGGGAAGGCAGTGGTGGCAGCTGATACTGGCTGCTTTGGACTGCCTCCAGGTCCCTCTGCAGGATTCTGTGGTAGGAAGTATCCAGCGACCTCCACAGGTCAGGGAACTCAAGGAGTGAGAGATTGGGTGGAGGAGCCCCAGGCACTCACCACTCTACTGGAGGTTGAAGAGAGAGACAGTGATGGCAGCTGATTCTGGCTACTTTGCACTGCCTCCAGGTCCCTTGCTTACTCTACCAGAGGGTAGAGGGGGAAGGCCCCCTCTTGTTCTTTCTAATAACCAATGCTTCCAGTGTCAGAGATACCCTTACTGGCTCCCTCTAGACATGCTCCCTGGCATCCTGTTGGCTGGGATACTACAAACAGCCATTCTAATGAGAGAACCAGAAGTCATCTGGGTACCTGTTGTCAATGCTACTCACTTCCATGTCATTACCATTATAGCTCAAACCGAATTAGAGGATGTGAGTAGGACAAAAAGACTTGGGAATCACAGCTCCTGTTATTGTGGTCATTGTGCTTCGAACGGGAAGGGGGTGGCTGGAACAGTATCACTAACACAAAGGGCCACCATGGTAGAAACCTTAAATCAAGTAATCACTAAGTCTGCTGAGGTTCTATATGCTCAAGAGATAATTAATCAACATCTTAATCAGGCTATACATATATTAAAACAACAAATTGACCTTTGGGCTGAGGAATTGACTCTGCTAAAGGATATGTCATTGTTAATGTTCGAACCCCAATACCAGGCAATTTGTCTCACCCCCTACAAAGTTTTCAATACTTCCTCAGAAAGATTCCAAGTGACATAATACATGAAAGGGACTTGGTCAGACAAGTTCCTCAATTACTTCATATTGCTTTTGGAACAAGTTCATTGATTAAACAAGACTAGGGTACCACCCATGTCCTTGGAGACCAATGTTTTGATGAGTGTGTGAAGCAATTTAAAAAAACATTATGATCCCTCCTTGATCCTTATGTATGTTTTGCTGGGCGTGGTAGTACTGCTTATTCTTCTCTTATTTAAATGTCTCAAGCAGCATATTCATCAACAAAAGATTTCCCATCAAGGTGATCCTCCAAGTACAAATGGCTCTCTGACAGTCAGGACAAAGCCCTCCTAGAAAGGTAATGCATGTATGGCTTACTGAGATACTAAAGGCTATTGCCTGACCCATCACCCTACTCACCAGGATTGATGCTTTTCTAGAGCTGGTAGTCAAGAATGGGTAAGAATCTGTTTGGCAGGCTGACCTGAAACAGGCACTTTCCATTATTCTGAGCCCTCCTGAGGTAGGAACAACAAGGCCAGGGCAAAGCACCCTAGCTCCCACTGAGTGTGTCGTGTAAAAATAATAATAAAAAGGATGGAAATGTGGGATAACTAACCCTCAGTGGGCCTGATAGATGACCTAAACCAATAGTAAGAGCATGCACAGTAGGTATTTCCTGACAGACCACCTGGATCTTCCAGAGGGCATTGACAACAATAACTGAGTCTAATGAGAGAGGGCATGGACCCTAAGGACAACAACCACATCACCTCAGCAGATGCCAGCTTAGTGTATCTACCCACTGGGTCAGGATGGGAGGTATAAAAGGCTTACCCCTTTCTGAAATAAAGTGAGCTTGTTGTTTTGACATGTTCCTGGTACCTGTCTCATTGGTTCCATATCTGCTTTCCCCAATGCCTGGGGGACACCCTCTGGGACCCTGAAACAACTGATAACCAAGATTAACTATCTTATGTCGATTTGACACCCCCAAACTTTACTTTTAAGTCATAAATTTCCTTCCTGTTCCTCAAAGGCTCATGGCAATCTCATAATGAAAAATGCATTTAATGTAGGAGTCTCTCAGATACTAATAATTCTACCACTGTTCAAATCCCTAAAATCCAAAGACTCATCAGAGACCCAAAGCAAACTTTTGACTGTGAGATTCTGTAAAGTCAAGTATATTACATACTTTAAATACAAAGTGGCACAAAGCGAATATTCTCATTTAAAATGTGAAAAATTGAACAATAATAAGGAAAGACTTGCCAAAGCAAGAGTGGAGCCCAGCACAGGAAACACTAAATCCTGTATCTATGTGTCAGCATCTATACTTCAAGATAGAATCATTGTTCCACTAGCCTTGGAAGCCTTTCCCTGCCAATGTTTTCACATGAGCCTCTCCCCTGGACTGATGCCTTTCCATATGTACAGCTTTTCTGGGTGGATATTTCATAATCCTGGCATTTCCAGCATCCAAAGATCTCCTTTGCATCCTGTGCTTCACATTCACAGCCTCATAAAATGGCTTTGTATTGTTTCCTTGTAGAAATTCTAACACTGATATACCTTGCCCAACCTCAGAAGCTATCTGGGTCCTTGGTACCATCCTTCAGGCTCCATATTCCTTGTATGCTACAGGCTTCTACCAATCCACTGCATGGAGTGGATGACATTGCCAAATTATACTTTCAGCTCCAGATTTAATGGCCTTTTAGAATAGTTGCAGTTGCCTCTATGACCTCTGGTGTCAAAAACCTATGAAAACATTCCACGAGTGATTATTTCAGAATACAGCACCCGTTATAAGCATTATCAGTTGAGTCTGTTTCCTTTAAAATTAATTTGCTTTTCCCAAACTGTGGTTTTAATGAATGGTGTCTTATTCTCAAGGCACCTTTCCTGTACTGTGGTTCTCCCTAATTCTTAGAGGTAATTTCTTTAACAATTATGGCATAATTCATAAATTCATAAACACTACTCAATAAAACTCACAATATTAATTGTCTCAATGTCTCAAATAAAAAGGCACAGAGTAAAAGATTGATTGGAAAACAGGATTTATCATTTTGATACTTCTAAGGGACATACCTCACCATCAAGGAAAACTATCACCTCAGGGTAAAAGAATGAAAAAAGGCAAACAAAGCAAAAGGGACAAAGAAAACAATTAGGCATAGCTATTCTAATATCTGACAAATTAAAATTGAAATGAAAAATAGTTCAAAGATAGGAAAGGACACTATATACTCATTAAATTGAAAACCCACCAAGAGTATATTTCAATTCTAAACATTTATGCACCAAACATGGGGTCATCCAATTTCATAAAAGATATACTAGTATATTTAAATTGCTTATTGACCACGACACAGTAATTGTGAATGACTTCAATGCCTCATTCATATGACTAGACAGATCATACAAACAAAACTGAATATAGAAATCCTGGAGGTAAATTATATCATAAATCAAATGGCTTGGACAGATACCTACTGAACATTCTACCCAAACACTAAAGAACATACTTTCTTCTCCATAGTTCATAAAATTTCCCCACAAATTAGTACACAAACAAGTCTCAATAATTGTATGAAAATTGAAATAACACCCTTAATTCTATTTGATCACTGAAGAATAAACCTGGATATCAGCAACAGTAGAAATAGAAATGGCAGACAATACACAAACCCATGAAAGCTAAACAACACAACTACTGAATGAAAACTGAGTAAAGACAGAAATGAAGAAGGAAAAATCTTTCTAGAACTAAATGAAAATAAAAACACAAACATTTATCCTCCAGGAGCATGACTTGTACCTTCTAGCACTATGAACACTAGTCAGTAAGGGTAAAGCATCTGTTTGAGTGCAACCTTGATGTCACCAAGTTCAATTAAATAAGTAAATAGAGTCTTCTGCAACAGAGACTTACCATCATGTTGTGGAGGGCAACCAAATAGCCTTTGTCAGTCAACACAAACTGGACTCTGTTTTTGCTTTTCTTTTCCCTTTTTGAACAAAAGATCATGAAGCATGTTTGAAGGGTGGAGAGACATAAGGATATCTGGGAGGAGCTGAGGCAGATGAATGAATATGATCAAAATGTAATGTATGCAGTTATCAAAGACTAAATAAAAACATTATTTTTAAAATATTTTAAAATATTAAAAAGAAGAAAACAAACTGAGTACCATCATTCATTGAACTTTGTTTGATTACTTTGACCACAACATGACCAGCAGTATGCCTCCATACCATGATGGAACTGTAAGCCAAAATAAATCAGTCCTTCAAGTTGTTTTTTGTCAGGTATTTAGTCACATCCACCAAAATATTAACTAATACATGCATATTATGTAAAGAAACTATACTGTTATACAAAAAGTACATACATATGCATGTATCATTAGCACACATATTAAGTTTATATTTATAATTATAAACATATGTATATAATCACACATTCATTTTCTTATACTTTTATCTATGTGGATATCCATGCATAAATGTGGGTGATTTTTATAAACATATTCAAATATGTACATAATTTTTAAAGTTCAGTTATAACATTACAGGCAATAAATCCTCACTCTCTTAAGTTTCCTCCTAACAGATATTTAGACAGAGCAATGAAAACAATAACTAATATAGCATGTTTATCCTTTTACTTTCAGTAGTTCATCTACTCCACCCATCTTAAACTATCTGGTGTGTTCTGAAGTCTTCACATTTTGTTATGTTTTCAAGGTCAGATTGTTCTATTACCCTGGGGGAAATGATGGGCTGCTTTGCTTCATGGAAGAGCTGGTTATGAGTCTTTTGCTTGTACTTTCATAAATTGACTCTTCTGCCATGCCAAATAAATTAATCATATCTTTTATGGGCAGACTCAGTGCATGACAGGTATGAGTCAGAATCTGTTTTGATACTTCCATGGGTGACGGAAGCCTTGTTAGTACTTAAGCAATAAGAGTTACAAGTTGAACAAAGGTTTCAGTTGTCTGTTGATGCAATTAGCCCACTGGGAATTTCTCTGCAAAAAAAAGCAACAAATTGCCAAGTGGGTAGAATCATACAGCCAGAATTTGAGAATAGAAGAGGCTTGATGATCAGATTTACCTGGTTCCTGTCCGACTCTGAATCATCTTTCCCTGGATACAGAAAAACGCCTGACCTTTATCAGAAATCTGGGTGAGCCAACTAGGGTGGTCTATCAGAACAGTGAAGAGCTGATTTGCAACCATCAAGCTCAGGTAAGTATCAGAGTTTAGTAAGATTATGTACCTAGTAGTCAATTCATGAAAGTTCTCTTCTTTCATTTTCTATTGCTTATGCCTCTGGGAAAATTCTTGTCTTTGCATTTCTGGGGAGGTTGCAGACCTTTACATGGAGGCTACTGAAATGTGGACGTTCAGAAGGATGAGGTCTGAGTAACCTCTGAGAAATTTTTTCTTCTGTTTTCATTATACATTTCTTCTGTTTTCATTATACAATCTGAGCTAATGCATGCTCACATTGCATTAGCATTTCACACTAATGCAATGTGAGCATTGCACATTAGTGTGCTGCATAGAGACTTGGCAAATGTTGCCTCAGTTTCTGGAATGTAAGATTAAATAGCAAGAAAATATATATTTATTCTTCTGCTAGTTCCATAATCACACAGTCATTAAGATGGGTTTCATCCCCATAATTTTCTTTGCAACTAGCATATACTTTTAATGTAGACAGTTGTGACTAAGAGAAGCAAAGAGTGAAAGAGAAGTGCATTGTTGTGAGATGTTTGTAATTTAAAGGTGTGTGTGTGTGTGTGTGTGTGTGTGTGTGTGTGTGTGTTTGAATTTCTTCTTTCCTAAGTAGGTCAGCAAAGAAAGAAAAGCTCTAAATATTATTACTTGTCTATGAAAGTTTTAAAGTTTATTTTATAGGAGAAAGTAGAATAGTTGTTGCTAAAAACTTAAAAGAGAAAGTGGCATGAGAAGTCAGAGGGAAGCTTAATTATAGGTATCAAAAATAATTATTTAGTAACAATAAACTCTATTTGTGTGAGCACCCTTTACAATAATTTATTATGCTTGACAAATAACTGAATGAGCAAAGTTTGAAGGTATCCATCAATGTTTAAGGAAATGTAACTGCTACTACCTGATTTGAGCATTGCACATTAAATAGCCATGCTGGGGAGATGGCTCAACAGTTAAGAGTGCTTGCTGATATTACATAGGAGAGAAACTTGCTTCCCCACACCCATCTGATTGTTCACAGCCCCTTGTAACTCTAGTATCTGGGGCTATGACACTTTTCCAGCCTCCACAGAAACACGCATGCACATATGCATATAACACATGGACACACACATAAAACATAAAAATAAATATTACTCAAACAAGATAAAATATATCCCTGGAAGCCACAAAATGTTTATTGTATTTATTTTTTGCTAAATAAATTTTGAAATGTTAAAACAGAAAACATTATAAAATTTACAGAGAATAAAAAGTAATACAAAACATATATGAGACCTCAAGCCTGCCTCCACAGTGATGCACTTCCTCCAACAAGGCCACACTTACTCCAACAAAGCCACACTTCCTAATAATACCATTGTAGAGAGTTTCTTTCTAGCCAGGTCCTGCAGCTCTTTAGTCCCAAAAAACACACAGAAGCTTATATTAATTATAAACTGTTTGGCTGATGGCTCATGATTCTTACTGGATAGATCTCTCTTAATTATTAAACCACTTCTATTAACCTAAGTATTTCCACGTGGTCTTGCCTTACTGGAGAATGCTGGAATCCTATCTTCTAGGTAGCTACATGCCATCTACCTCCAGGCTCCTCTCTGCCTTCCTCTTCCCCAAATTCTCCTAGTCTGTTAACCCAGACTATACTTCCTGCCTAGCTCGTGGATAATCAGTGTTTTAATTCATAAACCAATAAGAGAAACATATACAGGAGGACATCCCCCATCATGCCATTCCCTATGTGTTCATGGGGGCAAACTGCATTCAAACTACCACACTCAGCCAATGCAACTAACCCAAATTTCTTCACTTTAGCCACAGGCAGACCTTTTGGACAAGGGCAAAAGCCACATTCTTTGTCAAAATATCACAAAAACAGTCTCTATGCCACATACTAAAATTCTCCTCTGAAACCTCTTGACCCTGGCAGCCCCCACACTTCAAATCACCCTCAGAACCACTGTTTTCTGTGTTCCTGCCAGTATAATTCACTAAGCCTCATTTAAAGTGTTCAACTGCTTTCTAATACAATCTTCCAAACAGCACATTCCTCCAAAGCAAACCATGGTTATGCCTTCAGAGCAATAACTCTGATACCAACTTCTGTGTTAGCTGTTCTGTGAATTTCTGTTAGAATTCTGCACTGAAGCCATCTGGTCCTCAAAGAAGCCTGGGTTTTTGTTGTTGTTGTTGTTTTGTTTGTTTGTTTTGTTTTTTGTTTGTTTTTTTTTGGTTGGGAGACTTTTGATGAGTGCTTCTATTTCATTAGGGGTTATACGTCTATTTAAATTGCTTATCTGCTCTTGATTTAATTTTGGTAAGTGAAATCTGTCCAGAAAATTGTCCGTTTCCTTTAGATTTTTGAACTTTGAGGAATACAGGTTTTCGAAGTATGACCTGATGATTCTCTGGATTTCCTCTGTGTCTGTTGTTATGTCCCCCTTTTCATTCCTGATTTTATTAATTTGCATGTTCACTCTTTGCCATTTGGTAAGTTTTGATAAATGTTTGTTTATCTTGTTGATCTTCTCAAAGAACCAACTCTTTGTTTCATTGATTCTTTGTATTGTTCTCCTACTTTCCACTTTATTGATTTTAGCCCTCAATTTGATTATTTCCTGAAGTCTACTCCTCCAGGGTGTATTGGCTTCTTTGTGTTCTAGAGCTTTCAACTGTGCTGTTAATTTTTTAGTGTGATTATTCTCCTGTTTCTTCATGTGGGCACTTAGCGCTATGAACTTTCCTCTTAGCACTGCTTTCAAAGTGTCCCATAAGTTTGGGTATGTTGTGTTCGCATTCTCATTGAATTCTAGGAAATTTTTAATTTTTTTTATTTCTTCCTCGATCCAGGAATTGTGCAATTGGGTGTTACTTAATTCCATGAGTTTGTAAGTTTTCTGCAATTTGTGTTGTTGTTGAATTCTAACTTTATAGCATGGTGGTCTGATAAGATACAGGGGGCTATTTTAATTTTTTTTACCTGTTGAGATTTTCTATGTTGCCAGTATGTGGTCAATTTTAGAGAGGGTTCCATGTGGCGCTGAGAAGAAGGTATATTGTTTTTATTAGGATAGAATGTTCTATAGATGTCTGTTAAGCCCAATTGTGCCATAACTTCTATTAGTTCCTTTGTTGCTTTGTTAAGTTTCTGTCTGGTGTTCCTGTCCAGTGGTGTTCCTGTCCAGTGGTGAGTGTGGGGTGTTGAAGTCTCCCACTATAAGTGTGTGCGGTTTTATGTGTGATTTGAATTTTAGTAATGTTTCTTTAACAAACATCGATGCCTTTGTATTTGGGGCATAAATGTTCAGAATTGAGACTCATCCTAATGGATTTCTCCTGTGATGAATAGGAAGTGACCTCCTTCATCTCTTTTGATTGATGTCCAATTTGGTGAATATTAGGATTGCTACCCTGCTTGTTTCTTGGGTCCATTTGATTGGAAAATCTTTTCCCAACCTTTAATTCTTAGGTAACGTCTGTCTTTGAAGTTGAGGTGAGTTTCTTGTATGCAGCAGAAGGATGGATTCTGTCTTCTTATCCATTCTGCTAACCTGTGTCTTTTTATGGGAGAGTTAAGGCCATTGATATTGAGGGATACTAATGACCATTGATTGTTCATTCTTGTTTATTTTGGTGGTGGTGGTGAAATTATGTGTGGGTTTCCAGCCCTTTTTTCTTTTGGCTGTTAGTAAAGTGGGATTATCTATTGCCTAAATTTTTCTGGTTGTAGTTAACTTCCTTGGGTTGCAGTTTTCCTTCCAGAACTCTCTGTAGGGCTGGATTGGTGGATAAGTATTGTTTGAATCTAGTTTTGTCATGGAATATCTTGTTTACTCCATCTATATTTATTGAAATCTTTGCTGGCATCCGTGGTCTCTTAATGTAGGTAGAATATCTATCCAGGACCTTCTGGCTTTCAGAGTTTCCATGGAAAAGTCAGGTGTAATTCTGATTGGTTTGCCTTTATATGTTACTTGACCTTTTTCCTTTGCCTCTCTTAATATTTTCTCTTTATTCTGTATGTTTGTTGTTTTGACTGTTATGTGGCAAGGAGACCCTTTTTTGGTCCAGTCTATTTGGTGTTCTGTAGGCTTCTTGTGCTTTCATTCGCATGTCTTTCTTTAGGTTGGCAAAGTTTTATTCTATGATTTTGTTGAATATGCTTTCTACATTTTTGACCTGGACTTCCTCATCTTCTTCTATACCTATTATTCTTAGGTTTGTTTTTTCACGATACCCCACATTTTCTGGATATTTTGTGTTAGGTATTTGTTGGACTTAAGATTTTCTTTGGTTGATGAATCTATTTCTCCTAGTGTATCTTCAACTCATGAGATTCTCTCTTCCATCTCTTGTATTCTGTTGCTTATGCTTGCATCTGTAGTTCCTGATCGTTTATCCAGCTTTCCTATTTCCAGCATTCCTTCAGATTGTGCTTTCTTTACTGTCTCTATTTCGGTTTTTGGTGAAGTGTTTCCTTGAAAGATTTGTTGATATCTTGTAATTTTTGTTTTTTTTTTCCTTCCATTTCTTTAAAGGTTTTTCTGATATCTTCTTTGAGGTCCTCTATCATTTTCATGAAGATGTTTTTAAGGTCATTCTCTTCTGCTTCATCTGCATTGTGATGTTCTGGTCTTGCTGGTGTATGGTCCCTAGTCTCAGGTGGTATCATATTGGTTTTTCTGTTTTGGAATGTGCTTTTATATTGTCTTCTTCCCATCCTTTCTTCTGGTTGGTGTAGCAGGAGTCTCTTCCTCTCCTGGTAGGTATGGGACCAAGGTTCCCTTCTGGTAGATGCAAACAGTTCCAATACTCTGATATCTGTCCTCTATTCCTGGGCCGGTGGATGGAGGCAGGACTGTTACCAGGGGCCTTTGCAGTCTGGGTGTGCTGGAGCCCATTGGCTGAGTTCAGATCCCGTGAGCAGACCTCTGGAGTCGGGTGTCCCCGATTCCTAATTAAATATCTTACTTTATAAAAGTTTCTGTGGCCGTGGTGTCTCTTCACAGCAATAGAAACCTTAACTAAGACAATGTCTCAATCAATAGAAAATTCAGTGGAGTTCTTAAAATATCATAGAAAAAAGTTATTTCCTCTTCATAAAATGGTTATTTAGTTTCTACCATACCATGAAGATAAATCTGTCTTTAATTTTTTCTCTGTGTATCTATTAATAAATATATCAAATAATTTCATTAATGGAGGCTTTGGAATTCTGGAACTATTCTGTATTTCCATCAACTCTGGAGAAGAAAGCAGTCTGATTTAATTCACATAAAACAGAATGATATCAAATAAAGCCTTGGAGAAGACACTCCTGTAAAAATAAATAAATTTCTGCAAAGATATAGTCAAAGATCATTCTTAGCATAAAATTCAGATTTGCTAATAAAATTTCAGAATGCTAAATAACACAAAGTAACTGCTTCCTCTCAAATGCATTTGCTGTTTGCCTGGGATTAAAAGATGATGGCAACTGCAACTGGAAGACAGCTGCTTTAGACAAATGTGGACTTTCCTGATTTCTGCAACTTCTTACTCACATTTTAACTGATTATGAATATGATTTCTTTTTGCAGGTGTGATGAGTGATGAAAAACTACTTGGTTTACAGATTCAGTGTTGTTGTCATGTATGTCCTTCATATAGAAACACTGAGGGCAGGTATGAATCTCTTACTTCCTTTCATGAACCTTACCAATATTGAGTTTGTAAAGAAAGAAAATGTTACAGTCTCTGTTGCCAATTTGATGATATCCAGAATTACCTGGGAGACAAGTCTCTGCAAACACACATAAGAGGGTATTATAGTAAGTAGGTGAAGTGAGGTGGGAAGATGGTTTTACTGTGAGTGGATTAATTCCCCAGCATGGGAGCTTGGACTGTACAAAAAGGAGAAAGTGAGCTGAGCACAAACACTCACTCCTCTCTGCTTCATGGCTGTGGATACAATGCAAAATCCAGCATGTGGATCAACACAATAGAATATAGAGATAAATTCTCACAACTAAAGACAAGTAACTTTTTACAAAGTTGGAAAAAACAGCTTTTTAAGTGAATGTTGCTGAGAAAAACAATATACACATGTAGAATGCTAAAACTATAGCCCATCTCTGATTGTGTATAAAACAAGTTCCAAATATGGAAAATATTTTGATTTAAGATCTAAAGCTCTGAAAGGGGGAAAAATATGAGAAAACACTTTGAAATACAAACATAGGCAAGAACTTTCTGAATAGAGCTCCACTCCAAACATTGAGAAAATAATGCCAAAAAAAACAGACAAATGGGATTGCATGAAATTAACTCTCTCTGTACAGGAAATAAAACAGTTAATTGAATGAATGTCCTACAGTATAAGAGAAAAATATTTGTTAACTCTACATCTGACAAAGGATTAATATATAGAATATCTAAAGACCTCACAAAAGTAAATACCAAGAAACCCAACAATCCAATCACTAAACAGTCTAATTAGAGACTTCTTAAAATGAAGTAAAAATAACCAATAAACATATGAAAAAGTTCAACATGATTATCAGAGAAAAGAAAATTACATCACATTATAATTTTATCTACCATGGTTAGAATGCCAATTGTTAAGAAAACAAATGAATGCTGGCAAAAACATTGAAAGGGTTGTGTTATACAGTACCGGTCACATTCTAAATTAGTTTAGACACTACTGATATCAATATGTAGGATCCAAATTGGGAAACCAAAACAACAAAAAAAATAAAGTTCATCAACCATATTATGCAGCCATACCACCCTTGGATATTTACTTGAGAAATTCTAAGCCAATATACCACACAGTTCTTTGTACATCCATATTTATTGCACCACAATCCACAGTAGCTATAGAGTTAACCTTTGTGTCCATCAACAGAGAAATACGTGACAATAATATTCAACCATGTAGTAGAACAAAATTTCATTTGAAAGAAAATAGATTCAATACATTAATGCAGATTAATGCATTTTAAGCAAGTTAATTCAGACAAAGAAAGACAAACATTGCATGTCATGAAGAAAAACAAAAGGAGGAGAAGAGAAAGAAAAGTATTAATGGCTTATGGGGGCATGGGAATTAGTGAAAGTACATTATGCACTTGTAGAAAAATGACCATAAGATACAACCACCTACATACAATAGATATATACCAATAAAAAATACAAAAATGAAGCTATAACAGTGATTTTTAAACTGAACTGCTGATGCCCTTTTGCAAGTCTATGGCCCTGACACTCCCTAATTGCTATGGAGTGGTTCCACTTACATATATAAGAGTGGCTGCCAATCTTGGGGGTTCCTTGTCCATCATTCTGTTCTGGTTGATGGTCTTCTGTGCCTCTGCACAGTCTTCCTATGTGGCTTCCTACTCTGCAATCCTGAAACGGTTGCTCAAATAGACAGCTGTTGTGTGCTACTGCCACCTGGTGGTTTTAGCTTGTTCCAGCTATCGGACCCTGAAATTCTTAAACTCAGATTCTCATGGATCCACCTGATGTCATATGGAATTTTACCACTCTTGAAATGTCATATGATCCACCTACTCCTTAGTTTCTCTCCTCTTAAGAACCCCATAAACCATCATTCATACACTACACCTTTGCTTTATCTAGAAGGCCATACACTAGAAACCATACAAGCTTTACTAATAGACAATATTCTACCAATATTCCATTGTATAAACATAGGACATTTAGCTTATTCAGTCACCTGTTGAAGAAAATTTAGTTGCATCCAATTGTGAATAATTATGAGTAGTGATGCTATAAACATTTGGGTGCAGGCTTTTGCATGGACCTATTTTTCAAGTCTTTTCTGTTGTATCTAAGCATATGAAGTATGAAGGCTCAATACTATGGTGAGACTGTGGTTAATTTGGTGAGAGAGAGGGGAGAGAGAGAGAGAGAGAGAGACAGAGACAGAGACAGAGACAGAGACAGAGACAGAGACAGAGAGAGAAAGTTTCTAGGCCATGACTGAGTACTAGTGGGCTAGTTGCCAAGTCAGTCATAATAATAACCAATAGCTAGGCAGGAGAGGATAGGCAGGACTTCCAGGCAGAGATGGGAACTCTGGGGGAAAATCTGAGATGCAAGAAATTCTTCAGCCAGACATGGAGGAAGTTGGACATTCAGTACTAAGGAGAGGTAAACACCATGTGGCAGAATGTAGATTAAAATGAACAGGTTAATTTAAGTTTAAAGACCTAGTTGGGAACAAACCTAAGCGAAGGCCAAGATTTCATAATAAATAAAAAAAGTCTCCATGTCATTATTCAAGAGTTAGTGCTATAAAGAAAGACCTATACACAGGTGTCTGAACATTCATTAGAGCATTGGTAGCTGTAAATGGAAGTTTCTGTCCCACCCAGCCCTGCATCTATTTAGTTCCAAATAAACACACAGAGGCTTATAATAATTATCAACTGTTTGGCCAATGGCTCGAGCTTCTAACTGGCTAGCTCTCTCTTAATTATTAACCCATTTCCATTAATCTGTGTATCTCCATGTGGTCTTGACTTACCAGTGATACCGTGCCTCCTGCTTCCTCAGCAGCTACATTGTGTCTCACTCACAGCTCACCCTGTGTTCCTCTTCCAATGTTCTCCTACTCTGGTAGCCCTTTCTATACTTCTTGCCTGGCTACATCCTGCCTGTCCATTGGCAAAAACAGCTTTATTCATCAACCAATAAGAGAAACATATATTCCCAGCATACAGAATGACATCCCCCATCTGTCATTTGTTGGAGGAGCTGTTTCCATGAAGAAAATTTACTCTCCCTCCTGCAATTCACCAGCCATCAGATGCCAATAGCTTCTCAGCTAGGGGTGGGACTTTATGAGCCCCTCCCCCATTCATCCTTGGATTTGGGTGAATTTAAGCTTATGCATGTAGTTACAGCTGCTGTGAGTTTACATGTGTGAAATTTTAAGCCATACAGAATTGTCTTTTCTCCACACACTCCAGAAGACATCATTGTCACAAGCCAAATTTCTCTGTGTATTTGTGTTTCTAACCTGTCCTATTGAGAACTCTTCTTAGGGAATAATTTGAGATTATATGAACATTCACTGAATATATCCAATAAATTTTAAGATCTTGTAGAGAAATTTTAAACTTAGCTGAGTTGTTAAAGTAGAAATTTCTCCAAGAAGTTCACAGATATGCTGTGTGTGTGTGTGTCTGTGTGTGTGTGTCTGTGTGTCTGTGTGTGTGTCTGTGTGTCTGTGTGTGTGTGTCTGTGTGTCTGTGTGTGTGTCTGTGTGTCTGTGTGTGTGTGTCTGTGTGTCTGTGTGTGTGTCTGTGTGTCTGTGTGTGTGTGTCTGTGTGTCTGTGTGTGTGTCTGTGTGTCTGTGTGTGTGTGTCTGTGTGTGTGTGTGTCTGTGTGTGTGTCTGTGTGTGTGTCTGTGTGTGTGTATGTGTCTGTGTGTATGTGTCTGTGTGTGTGTGTCTGTGTTTGTGTGTGTGTCTGGGTGTGTGTCTCTGTGTGTGTCTCTGTGTGTGTCTGTGTGTGTGTGTAAAGGGTGGCAATTCTGGACAGCCATTTAAAATGTGACCACTCTTTCAGTTAATAAAGTGCTAATTGGCAAAGGTGCCTAGAAATTTCCCACCAAAAAACATCAATGAATCCGGAAAAGTAGCAACTGTTAATGGTTAAATGGTTTTCAAAAATGAGACCATGCTTATGCAAGCCATTTGTAAATTTCAAAGTGATACTCTAATAATAGTTTCAGACACCAATATGTTGCTATGCTATTGTTTGGCATAAGAATGGTTTCTTAACCATGCAAAGATAGGCCTCTTTTCTGCTTGAACAAATAGAAAAAATTATGAATTTCTGGTAGTCTGATGATGTCTTTCTGTATTTAAAGGCCCATTTAGTGTTGCTCATATGTATGGGTATTTAGAACTGACTACTTAGGAATGAATAACCTATGAGGGGGCTGATTCATGGAGAAGACTTATTCTTCACTTTCTCTGCCACCATTAATTGCTTGTAGCTCTTCATCTAAGGGTGAATGAAATCTAGTAAGATTTGGTTAGCATGTCAACCAATGATACCATTACGCAGGTCCTGTTTAAGTGACCAATTGTTGAGGGTTCATGTGTACATCTACCCTCTCATATGGAAAACATCATCTCACAACTGAAATCCTGGTCCTATAGTTCCTGAAGTCATACCACCCAAATTCTGTGATGTTCCTTAAGCCGTGGGTGTAGGTATTATTTTGTAGATGTATTAATTGTGACTGTGCACCCCACAGTTAGTAGTTCTCTGCATTTTGACAAACTGAGAACTTCTTTAGTAGTTTCCAAATGCTTCAAAAGGAAGTTTTTATTTTTTTCCTGCAATATATTTGATCATACTATTTCTCCTCCCCAACTCTCCCAAATACTCATACATACTTTACATACATACATTGTTCTCTTGTTTCTCTTTCTCGTTCTCATTCTCTCTCTCTCTCTCTCTCTCTCTCTCTAAAAGTGAAACAGAGATGATTCAAACTCAATCAGTAAAGTACTTGCCACAAAAAGAAGTTTAATAATAGGAGAGAGCTATATTTATATGTAGATGTGAGGCTATGTCTTAGAATGCAGTTAGAATTTATACTAGTTTACGAAAATGGCAGTAGTAGGTTCTTAAAAACAAATTTAAACATGCAATGGATAAGAATTTTTCAAAATCAAGGAAAGTTAATATCTGTGAAGCTTAAGCATGAAAACAGACATATGTTAACCCTCATTACAATTACAGAATAATAAATCTTAGAATCACTCAGAAAAAGAAGGAAATAGAATAAAAGAAGCGTCAACTACTGAGCTGATAGCAATTATTTTAGGAAGTCATTTGGCAGCAATGGAAATTATACACATTTCAGAAGAGGAATAGTTTGATGAGCCACCACTGATGATGTGAAAAACTTAAGATACTTTTTTCAGGTATGCTGGGGAAGGGTAGCTCATAACAAAAATGTGTTTGTGTGTTTTGAGGAAGGGGTGACTTAGAAGACTTCCTTGAATAAATCACATTTTGGCTTCTTGTTTCTCTTCCCAGAACGATTCACAGTGACTGGATTAGAGGGGCCAGTCTTGGCTCCATTTGGTACAGTACTTGAGCTCAGTTGCCAGTTGTCTCCACCACAAAATGCTCAGCACATGGAGATCCGCTGGTTCAGGACCCACTATACACAGCCTATTTACCTATACAATGATGGCAAAGACCTGTTCGGAGAAATTATTCCCAAATATGTGGAAAGAACAGAGCTCCTGAAAGATGCCATTAAAGAAGGAAATGTGACCCTCAGGATCTTTGATGTTAACCCTGATGATGATGGGCAGTACCATTGCATCTTCAAAGATGGAAAATTCTATGAAGAGCACATCACGAAAGTCAAGGTCATAGGTAAGCATGGATTCCTCTGAAACTAATTTTTAACTTAATTCAGTGGTTTACATGTAAGAAAAATGTCCACTTATAAGTCTTAGCGCAGTTGTTTTGATTCATTAAATAGAAAATATTTTACTGAAAGAAAAAAACAAATTAAACAAGGAGGCCCTTCATCACCAAATTTATTTAAAACAATAAGTCTGCTTATTAGAACAATAATTGATAATTGAGTATTATGTCCTCTCCATAATTGATAATTTTATTGATTTATTATGTCAATTAGAGCCCTGTAGAGTTTTGACTATCCTTATATCTACAGACACTGTAGTTAACATGGAGAAGAAATGGTTTTCTTTTAGTGTTCTTTTTCTCTTTCTGATCACTATACACTACTGATTCCCCTTTGTTTATAACCAGCTGGGAGCTCCCGTGTTCAGATTCTTGTTCATCCTCCTACTACCCAAGGTGTGATAGTGGAGTGTCACTCCAAAGGTTGGTTCCCACGGCCTCACTTGGAATGGAGAGATAGCAGAGGAGAGGTCATTCCAGCTGCATCAAAATCCTATTCACAGGATGCAGACAAATTGTTTGATATGAAGATGACACTTCTCCTTAGAGACAGCTCTCTCAGGAACATCACTTGCTGCCTTTGGAATCCTTTAACAAGCCAAGAGGAAAGCACAGTCATTGTTCTACCAGGTAAAATTAGTGTATTCACTCTTGAAATAAGTTTTAAATAATTTAGGCTTGAAACAAAACTTGTGATTTTTCATTTGGTTTCAGGTCAATACTTTCCCTTCATTTTATTTATTATCTTATCTGTTGTCTGATTGATTCCCTTCGCTAGATTCATTTCTTAAGCCATTTTTCTAATACTGGAGATTTTAGTACATGAGAGCCTGTTTTCTCCTAGTGTAAAATGTTGTCTGATATTCTTGATGTTTGGCTAACTTGTTACTCATTTCTTAAAATGTTTAAATAACATTATTCATTATAAAGAATATAAATGGCTGAGAGCACTTAAAATGTTCAACAGCCTTAGCTATTAGGTAAACGTAAATTAAAACTTCTTTGAGATCTCATCCCTGTCAGAATGGCTAAAGTTAAAAAAAAGGGAGAACGACAAAGGCTAGCATTGATATGGGGGAAGGGGATGCTTAATTACTGGTGGTAGTAGTGCAACTGGCAAATCTACTATGGAAATAAGTGTAGAGATTCCTCAGAAAGCTAAAACTATATCTACCTTATAATCCACTCATGTGCATATACCCTAAAGACTCTACATCTTACTAAAGAGATATTTTCTTACCATATTCATTGCTGTTTTATCCATAATAACTAGGAAAAGGAAATAATCTGTATTTCTATCAAGTAATTAGTGGATATTGAAAATGGAATGTATTTACTCAATGGAATATTATTCAACTATTAATAAAAATTAAACAAAGCTGCTTTGTCACTAAGATTCTATAGTATACTTTGAGGTCAGATATTGTAAATACACCTAGCATATACAACCAACCAAAAATTCTAATGTGAAGAAAAAAGCATACTTAACAGTGTCGGTGAAATGTAAACTGCTTCAGCCACTATGGAAATAGTGGTTGAGGTTTAAAAAGATTCTAATTAAGTGCCTTGAGAGATGGATCAGTTCTACATATACAACAAAGAACTCTAGAAGTATTTACACATTTGTTTATTTCATCATTTATCATAAGAGCCAAATTTCAGACACATAAATCAGTAAGCAAATGTGGTATATAATTTTATTCAGCCATAAAAATGAATAAAATTGCATCATTTGCTGAAAACCGTGGGCAACTAGGAACTACATAAAGTGAAACAAGGCAGATTCAGTAGGACAAATATTACACGTTTGCTGTTATTTGTGGATATACACACACACAAATAAAAGCAGAAGGGAGAATGGAGGAAGGACTAAGACTGTTGAAAGGAATGGTGAGAAAAGAGGAATGCATGTGATTATGAAATTGTCAAATTATGAAATCTTGATCTAAATGCCATGAATATATGCCCATTTAAAAAATTAACCACAATATATGGTGCACATACATCTATAATAGTCATATCTCTTCATATACTATCCGATTTATCAATATGTAATATGATATATCTAATATAAGATGTTCTTTTTTCTTTTGCCATTTTTTATTTTTTAATTTCATTTTACATTCCAACCACAGTTCTCCCTCTCATCCCTCCTCCTGCCTTCTTCAGCTCCTCACAGCCCCCACTCCTCTCCCTTCAACATACCCCCAGTCCACTCCTCCTCATGGGCAAGGGCTCCCATGAGGAGTTAACATAGTCTGGTAAAATAGATTGGGGCAGGACCAGGCCCCCCTCCCATGCATTAAGGCTAAGCATGGCATTCCACCATTGGGTGTGGGCTCCAACAAGCTAGCTCATGTACCAAGTTTGTATCATGGTACTACTGCCAGGGACACCTCTGATAGTCCAAGCTTCACAACTGTCTCCCACATATGGCAGGCCTAGTTCAGTCCCCTGGAGTCTCCACAGTTGTAGGTCTAGAGTTCATGAGTTTTCACAAACTTAGTTCAGCCCTCTCTGTAGATTTCTCCATCATGAGTTCATCATTTTTTTGTAGCTGAGTAGTAGTCAATTGTGTGACTGTACCATACATTAAAGCTAAGCATGGCATCCCACCATTGGGAGTGGGCTCCAACAAACTAGCTCATGTACCATATTTTCCTTATCCATTCTTTTGTTGAGGAGCATCTAGGTTGTTTTCAGATTCTGGCTATTACAAATAAAGCTGCCATGAACATTGTTGAACAGATGTCCTTGAGATATGATTGATCATCACTTCATTACATGCCTAAGAGTGGTATCCCTGGGCCTTGAGGTAAATTAATTTCCAGTTTTCTTAGAAACTGCCATACTGATTTCCAAAATGGCTGTACAAGTTCACACTCCCACCAGCAGTGAAGGGGTGTTCCCCTGACTCCATATCCTCTCCAACGTAAGCTGTCCTCAGTATTTTTTATGTAAGCCAGTCTGACAGGTGTAAGATGGTATCTGAGAGTCATTTTGATTTGTATTTCCATGATGATTAAGGATGTTGGCTAATTGTGATTCTTCTGTTGAGAATTCTTTTTATCTCTGTACTCCATTTTCAAATGGATTAATTAATCTTTTGTTGTCTAGTTTCTTGAGTTCTTTATATATTTTGGATATTAGTCCTCTGTCAGAGTGGGGTTGGTGAGGATATTTTCCCATTCTGTAGGCTGAAAGGGTTTTTTGTAATTCTTTTTATTAGTTCAAATTAGGAACAATTTGAACAATTGTTTCACATGGCAATTCCTTCTCCCTCTGCCTCCCCTCCCCCCACTCCTATCCCCTACTCCCAACCCCATCCACTGGGGGCTCCCCAAAGTCCACCACATCATCCTGGTCCAGGCCTAGGCCCTCCCCCATGTGTCCAGGCTGCGAGTGCATCCCTTCATGTGGGATGGGCTCTCAAAGTCCCTTCTTACACCAGGGAAAAATACTAATCCACTACCAGGGGCCCCCTAGAGTGCAGAGGCCTCCTCATTGGCATCCATGTTCAGGGGTCTGGATCAGTCCTGTACTGGCCTCCCAGATAGCCGTCTGGGGTTCATGTGCTCTCTCTTGTACAGGCCAGCTGTTTCTGTGGGTTTCACCAGCCTGGTACCAACCCCTTAGATTTTCATTCCTCCCTTTCTGCAACTAAGTTCCAGAGTTCAGTTCAGTGTATATCTGTGGGTGTCTGCCTCTGCTTCCATCAGCCACTGGATGAGGGCTCTAGGATGGCATAAAAAGTAGTCACCAATCTCATTATAGGGGAAGGACATTTATCTTCTCCACCATCACCTAGATTGTCAGATCCTGTCATCCTTGTAGGTCTTCCTTTCTCCACCCAACCATATCACTCCTATCTCCACCTCCATAGAGCTGGAATTAGGAGCATATTATCCTAAGTGCTGAGATCACCTTTGTGTGAGCTGTTTCTCTAGAACAGCTTTATTTTCTTGGCTTTCTTTAATGGTTTTATTGACTTCTTCGTGTTTGTTTTTTCTTGGTTTTCTTGGCTTTCTTTAGGGGATTTATTGATTTCTTCCAATTTTTTATTATTCTTTTTCTCCATTTCTTTAAGTGAATTCTTCATTTCGTGTCACTCAGTGTGGCCTAGAACTAATAGAGATCCATCTCCCTCTGGCTCCTAGTTCTGTTATTAAAGGTAATGACCACCACCACATAGCTTCTTTAGCTAACTAGTATGGCTACTAGGATTAAGTGTTTATCACCACTGCCTGAACTCTAAGGTTGTGGCTGGTTTGCATCCTGAACACTCAGGCAAGATTTATTAAATCCTAAATAATATATCGTCACAAAGACTAGCTGCCCAGATTTGGTACTTCCTACCAATGGGAGGAGTCTTCCCACATCAATCATTTCCTCTCTATTGCATCCGTAATTAATCAAGAAAATGTCCAAGAGATAGGTCCATGGGTCAATATGATGAAGGCAATTCCTCAAGCTATGTGTTCCCTCCAAGATCCCTATAGTTTGTGTCAAGTTGACAAAAGAACTAACCAGCACATTTGCTCTGGGCCCATAGTTGTACAATCATTCAGTGAGAACATGGGCATTGCATGTGTCCTAAGAGTTTAGACAGAACTGAAACACTGATTTGGAACTGACTTTATATATTCCCTGGAAACCTGTGTCTGAGCCTTGACAGGGGAGAGGAAAATTTGTTTTTCCTCATCTCTTACAGTCAGGGAGTTTATGAGGCAGAAATTTACACCTATGCTACTTTTCACACACTTAGTATCTGCCTCTCCAAACTGGCCTAAAGTTTCCATTCCAAGGTGACAGAATTGGAGAAGAATTGGAGGTACTAATTCTAATTGGGTTAGTTCAAACACTCTCAATTTCCTGCATAGTAAATTTTGTGGCTTTCTATTTCAGATGAAATGTTTTCTTGGAATTTTATTTGGAAGACTACTGTGGGTGTACTTCTGGCTATGATGACACTCTTCATCATATTTCGAAGTATTAAACTACATATCCTAGAAGGTAAGTAGTTTTTCAGGATGGGGTAACCAAAGTGGGATAGGAAAAGATAATTAACACTGAATTATACTTCATTCAGAATCCTGCCTGCAAGGGTATTATCATGGGTCATACATTATACATATATCTTATCCTTAAAAGACTTTCTTTTTTACCTCCTACTGCCTTTCAAATGAATATCTCCTTTTACATATATAACATATATATATATATATACATATATATATATATACAGTTTGCTGAGTCCATTTAATATTGCTCATATATTACATTTTTCATGCTTTAAAGAAAACTGAAAACATGAAATTTAAAAGTAAATGGATAGAACTAAAAAATATTATACTAAGTGAAATAACTCATGCCCAGAAAGACAAAATCCACAAGATCCTCCTCATTTGTGTCCTTACCTCCGAATCTTCAGATATGAGTATTCACCCTGGAGTAAATGCAGACACCAGGAAAGTGTCTATTAATAGAATCACTCTGGCTTCCTGTCCATCAACGTTAGACAGCATAGCCTCTTCCCATTCTGCTACCTCTTAAAAGACTTTCTCTTGTTGATGTAGCTGCTGACATTTTCGTTTGTGAAAGTCTAGCTTCATCTGCATTTCTCAAAATGAAACTTTCTTTTCCTGTGGTGACAGATATGAAAAAATGAAACCTACGTAACATCCAACATTTGTGCATCCTTCTCTCTTGACTTGTTCAAGGTTCTAGTGGACTCATTTAGGGCAGAAAGTGATGTTCTAAACTGCACATTGCAGAAATGGCTACATAGTTTTCATTCAGTGGAACACCAGGAAAACTGAACCTATTGGGAGATGTTGAAGTATCAGGTGGTTTATCTTCCAAGGAGAAAAAAAATGCATTCTTTTCTAACAGTGCTATACTTGTAGAAAGTGAACTTGGAGGGTCACAAGAAAAATTAAAACACATATGTACAGTTTTCAGGTTTTAAAGGTGTGCTAGTTTTAATAACCTTGAACTGACAGATTGGTGTGTAGCTCTATCTTTTCAGTACATATTTAAGACCTTTGAAAATTTTCCCATGTACAGCTTAGTTGTTAGGTAGGGATTTGGGTGTCAGCACTTCTGGTTACTCTCCTATTTCTTGACTTCCTCACTCATTACCAGTTGATCTCCTTCCCTGAGTTCTACTACCTGAATTAAAACAGCTTTCATTCTCCAAAATTGCATCTAGCCTACACAGCACAAAGCCACAGAGTCGCTACATTTATTCCTGTTTATTGCAAGATAAAATCTAGGTTTTTTGTTGTTGTTTCTCTTTATGACTGCATCCTTGAACACATGCATTTCCTTCTTCAGATTCTCAAATCCCTCTTGAGAGACTTGTAGTTATAGACTTTTCTAAATAGACCTTTCCATCTGAATGCCCTCCCATTATTAAGTCTTCATCTCTGGTGCACCTTGAGCTGGCAACATTTTATTCATCTTGTCTTGGCTTCTACATGGCTCTAAAGCAGCAGAGCTAATCATATGATAGGAACTATCATGTCATAAGATGAAAGCAATTACTGAGGCTTTGCTACTGGCAAACCTTATTTGAAAATGCTTATAAGTACTAAGTTTCATAACCTGTGTTGTATATACTTAATTATTTAGTAATTATTTAAATATTTAGAAATATTATTACTAAAGAATTACCTATTCAAATGTCCTGAAAAGCAATTCCCAACACTAGGAAAGCTACCCAGTGTTTGAGAAGATTCCAATTCAATTTCAGCTTGCTTACTCTGTGTCTTGGAATGAAAACATGTGGCATCTTCACACTTATTCCTGATGAAGATCCAAGAGCAATGGCTATAATATGTATAATTTTGAGGGACTTTGGGGCCTCCCCAACCAGCAACATATAGGAAGATATCCCATATGGGCTCAAGGATTTTAATTTAATAACCTATGGACTACAGTAGCAGCATTATCATTGATGCAGAATACCTGCATTCAAACTATTTTTTAAATTATATATAGGTTTATCAAGACATAGTTTCTCCGTGTAGCTTTGACTGTCCTAGAACTCACTATGTAGAGTAGAATGGCCTCAAACTCACAGAGATCCACCTGCCTCTGCCTCCCCGGGTGCTGGGATTAAAGACATGCACTACCCCCACCAGGCTAAATTATATTTTTATTTTTCTTACAAAATATGTTCCCATATGTCTTTAATAGACATCATTACTGTTGATTATCCCACACTCTTGACCCCTTTGCTCATCACTCCTTCCTCTCTGCAACTAGATTCCGGAGTTCAGCTCAGTGTTTAGCTGTGAGTGTCTGCTCATGCTTCCATCAGCTCCTGGATAAAGGTTCTAGGATGGCATATAAGGTAGTCATCAATCTCATTATCAGAGAAGGGCATTTAAGATAGCCTCTCAATTATTGCTTAGATTGTTGGTTGGAGTCAACCTTGTAGATCTCTGAACATCTCCCTAGTGCCAGATTTCTCTTTAAACCCAAAATATCTCCCTCTCTTGTGGTATCTCTTTTCTTGCTCATCTTTATTCTTCCTCTGACTCGATCTTCCTGCTCTCTCATGTCCTCCTCTCCCTTCTTTTCCCCTTCTCTTTCTCATAACTCCCTCTCCCCTCCTGTCATGCTCCCAATTAGCTCAGGAGATCTTGTCCCTTTCCGCTTCTCCAGGGGACCATGTATATCTCTCTTAGGGTCCACCTTGTTTACTAGCTTCTCTGTTGGTGTGGATTGTAGGCTGGTAATCCTTTGCACTATGTCTAAAAAACATATATGAGGGAGTACATACCATGTTTGTCTTTTTGTCATTTCTCTTCTTAATGATAAGTATTCTTATTTAGGTAAGATGGGACCTCATTGTTATTTTAACTATTTAATTATTTAGAGAAATCAATCATCCCTGCATCTCTGGAGTGAAGGCAATTTGACCATGGTGATCTTTTTGGTATTTTATTAAATTCAGTTTCCAAGATATTATTGAGAATTTTGGCATCTGTACTCATCAAGGAAATGCTGTAATATTCCCTTAGCGGCTAAGAGTGTTTATCACTTTAAAAATATTTAACAGCCGTTTATATACTTCTTTTGATAACTGCCTATTCAATCCCATAATCTATTTTTTAAATTTTTTAGATATTTTATTTATATTATGTACATGACTGCTTTGCCTGTATTTATGTGAGTACACCATATAAATGCCTAGTGGTCACGGAGGTTAGAGAGGATATCAAATCCACTTAGAACTAGAGTGACACACAGTGTGTGAACAGTGTGTATTTATGTGTGTGAACATGTAGGTGCTAGGAACCAACCCTGGGTCCTCTGCAGGAGTAACAAACATCCTTAACAACTGAGTCATCTCTCCATAACCCATTTTTATTAGATTGTTAGTTTTTTTGGTGTTTGGGTTTTTCATTATTTATATATTCCAAATATTAATCTTCTGTCAGGTTAGTAGCTGGTGATTTTCTCCCATTCTCCAGGCTGCCTCTTCATTTGGTTAAATGTTTCCTTTGCCTTTTGATTTCCTAGGCCCATTTGTTGATTGATTGTATACTGAGTGTACAATGCACTGACGAGACAAAGTTAAAATATGCTGGAGACCATGGAAAACAATCTTACCTTTGAAGAACATGAGGCACAGGGACCATGCAAACCATGCCATGCTGTGTTTTTAGGAGAAGAAAGAGTAAACAAAAATTATAAAGACAGAGAGCTTAAAGGGAGGAAGAAATATATACATACATACATACATACATATATATATATATATATATATATATATTCGCAGAGCAGAACAGGGCTGAGATGTCCTGCTCAAGGGACCTGGTGTATTAGGCAAAACCAAATGGGAATTAAAAAGTGACTGACCTGATGCTGGCTTTCATCCGGTCTTGTTCCTGTTCTTTCCCCACTACTGGGAATTCCTCTATTAGGTGTAGTCCTATTCTCATTGATGAGTCTTTCTTTGGTTAATTTGATTGCTGATTATTTCCTAGGACTATGTTCAGTGCTTCAGAGAAGAAATTTCAGATCTGGTCACACCTGTATAAATTCATTCTGATTTCAATTGTGAACATTAGCCTCATCTTTTGTGCAGCTCCTGCCAATGTCCTGAATATTGCTTGGAATCTGTTTAAAGATTCATCTCTCTAGGTTTTCAGGTGAATGAAGACTATTCAGGCTATTCAGTGGTTTCTTTTTTATAACCTCATAGTGTTCTTTTTATAGGTTTCAGTGTATAGTTCTATATCACTTAACCTGGTTCACTTAGGATCTTGAGCTACTGAATCACCATGATAAGCAAAAGACTTTTTTTGGAAATGGCTTCCTACTTCTGCTTTATTGTCAGTGTCAAGCATCCTGTGCCAAGTGGAGAATGGTTTTTCACTTCTCTATTACTGTTGTCTCCCTGTTGCCTTATTGTCCACCGATATCCAGCCCCTTTCAGATTACAGTTTTTTCTGTTTTTCCAATATTAATTCCTGGAGAGCCAGGCTGACTATGTCTGAATGACATCAGCCATCTTAAGTCCTCCCAGTGAAATTCTTATATCCAGAGCATAGAGTTTCAGGCAGTTAAGAGGTCTTTAGAGTTATCCTACTCCCAGAATCTTTCAGGCTCACGTAAAATGACAATGACAACCATGAACATTATATCCTATTCTCTAATTGCCCCACTGATGAATGGATGAGAGAAAGACAACCATGATCTGTCTTTTCTAAATATGTTTGTCCTCAACACAAGACCATCTCCACCCTAAAATCAACTATGATTTTTGCTCCTGTGACCAACAGTTCTCTAATCCTTCACATCTTGGCCTTAGCACTGTTTGAAATGCAAAAAGATGGCTTTAAAATGTAGACATTTCCTTTGTTTCTTTTTTAAGTTTATTTTTTAATTACTACTCATATTTACATATCCACTCCCCCATTCCATTTCCTTCCCATCCTCCCATGTTCCCCACTAACCCTCCCAACCCACCCCCCAAATCCTCCCCAGGGATAGTGAGGCCCTCCACGGGGGACCTTCAAAGTCTGTCATATCATTTGGGGGAGGGCATAGGCCCTCCTTGATGTATCTGGGCTGCAATACTATCCCTCCACAGGGAATGGGCTCCCAAAGTCCATTTGTGCTCTAGGGATAAAGACTGGCTCCACTGTTAGAGGTCCCATAGACTGTCTTGGCCTCCTAGCTGGCACCCACATTCAGGGGGCTTGATTTGGTCCAATTCTGTTTCCCCAGCTTTATGACTAGGGTCTCCATGCTCTCAGTAGGTCAGGTCCACTGTTTCTGTGGGTTTCTCCAGCCCAGTCTTGGCCCCTTTGCTCATCCCTCCTCCCTCTCCACAACTGGATTCTAGTAGTATGGTTCAGTGCTTAGCTGTAGAAACAGGCACCCACAGCTTTCCCTTGTTTCTTAATTCGAACTTTCTACCAACCAATAATCAGTGATTTTAACATTTGTTTCTTTAGGTTGCTCCGGCACATGCTGCCTCCATTGGTCCATGGCCATGCTGATACCCATTTTTTCTATTGTTATACTCTTATCACTCATCTCCGGTTTGTATAGAAAAACTAGAGGTATGTGATATAAAGAAAATGATATCTTTCTATAAATCTCTCTGTTTCCAAATGCTTAGTCATAGTTTAGCCAATGGAGAGTGATATCAGTTTGAATTTCATGAACAATGGGCCCTGGAACATCATGATGTTTGGATTACAACCTCTGCAGTTTTATTGAGTTTAAAGATACAAAGCAGCGGTGCATCTGCTCCTAAATAGTTTTCTTCAGTTTGATAATGTTATCTTTGAGATCATCACTTTACTTAATAAGGTAATTTGATCAACCCTTATCTTTAGGTTAGAGGAGATAATAATCTAATAGACCTTAACTGTCTTAGGTGACAGATTTCTTCTTACAATTGATGTCCAAAAGATGGACTGCTTCTCAAAATTATCCACACCTTCATGGAACTTTTTTCTGAGTTTCATGGTGGACATAAACACTCATAATAGATTCTTCTTCTCTTTGGTTCTCTCTGAGAAGGAAATTGAAATGGTAATTGTGAAAATTTTGGGATAGCTAAATGTAACATATTTAAATTGTGTCTTCTACTTTACCTTTAATCAGCAAGATAAAATGATAAATTAAGTACAACTGTGCATTAAAAGCCCAAATGCAGAATTCTCAAATTAGAGGACATTTTTTATATTGATTAGATGGATTGAAGACACAAAGGGCCTTAAATAATAAAATTAAGTTGAGAGGGAGAATTTTAAAATTATCTTACACTGTGGTCTACTATGTTCACACATAGGCAAACATTTAAGACATCATGATAAACTAGTTAGTCACAAAAAGACAAATATTCTACCATTCCCTTTATATCAGTTACTTCCAGTAGTCTGCACCATGCAGACATAAAATAGAGTTGTGGAGTTGCAAGTAGGGGAAATTGTTTAATGGAATAAAGTTTCAGCTTATAAGATTAAAAAAAATTCTGGAAATAGATGGTACTAGCGGTTACACAAAAATATAGACACGGTCACTATTCAAATAAGAAGTTAAAATGGCTGGCATAGTCAAATTTATGTATGTCCAGTTAACCATAATAACAAATAAATTTAGTGTTGACAGCATTTAAAAATTAAAAGAAATTACTGACTTCTAGAAAAAAATTTAGAAAAAAAAGTTAACAAATAATGTGAATGTGAAGTGTTCTTTCATTTTTCACAAGAAAGGTAAGATGAAGCATCTGTTATCTTTTCTACTATTTTATAAAAGCGTTTAATATTTCTATTAATGAAACACAGCCCTGAGGGGCGGAAGTGTGTGTTGCACACTAACATTATGCATAATGCTGCTCTGAACATGAGAATACAAGTATTTCCTCTAGACCCTGACTTTAATTCCTCGAAGGTGTACACTAAGAAGAGGAACAATGATGCCTCTTTTTACATATGATTAATGAATTGTTATTCCATTTTCCACAGTGTTCATTTTGCATTCCCACTATACAATAGTGTATAAGGGTTCCAGACTGCTATGCCCCTTCCAACACTTGTTATTAAACTTTTTATATATCAGACATCCAAATGGGCAGTAGCCCATTACAATATTTTTCCTAGTGATGTTGAGCATATTTATGTGCATATTCTCCATTCACATATCTTTTTTGAAGAAATGTTTATTCAAGTCATTTGCACATATTTACATGGTATTGTTTGGTTTGATTGTTGAGTTTCAGAAATCCTATGCTTTATCATTAGCTATTAATCCTTGTTACCCATTCCATAGGTTGTCTTTTTATTTTCTCAATTATGCTTTTAGATGCACAATTTAAAGAGTGAAGTCCATTTTTTCTCCTATTTCTTTTGTTGTCTGTACCTTTGATGTTACATCCAATAAATAAATACCAAAATAAATGCAAAATTTGAAAAAAATGTTTGTAAAATATATGTTGACAAATGATTTGATTCTGCCCTATAAATATCAAGGATGTCTGTTCGAACCTCTGTGATAAGAAGTGATCAGAACAAACAATCTTGATATTTATAGGGCAGAATCAAATCATTTGTCAACATATATTTTACAAACAACATTGTTTCCACTCTATGGAAGCTGTTGAATTTTCATGACAATGAGTCATGAAGAGAAAAAACTATTTTATTAAAATTAAAGATACATAACATAAAATTTACAATCTTAATAATTTTAGCCTGATCTTTCCATGACATTTAGTATATTTTCATTTCTGTGTAAAAATCTTTGCCATCTATTTTCAACAAACTTTTGTCTTCCTAAAACTTTAGTGAGTCCCTGACAATGACTATACCTACCTCCAGCCCCTGGAAACTACCATCCTATTTTCTGCCTGTATACTCTTAATTAGACTAAGTGCTTTATATAGGTGGTCGCTTTAATATTTGTTTGGGGAAATTGGTTTACTTAATTCAGTATAATAGTTTCAAAGTTTATTCATAATATAACATATTGCAGAATTTCTTTCCTTCATAAGTTTTTTTAAAAACTGTGTTAATAATAGACATTTTGCTTATCCATTCATCCACTGATGGGCACTTGTGATACCTACATGTTCTAGGTGCTATAAATAATGCTACTATGAACATAGACATACAAATATCTCTTCTAAGTCAACTTTGAACTCTTCAGTGAATATAGCAAAAATGTAAATTTTGGATCTTCTAGCATATATTTTTTTTTATTTTCTGAGTAACTATCATGTCATTAGATGGTTTATTAACTACAGTTAAATTAGGAAGGCAGTTTTTTTTTGTTTTTTGTGGTTTTTTTTTTTTTTTTTTTTTTTTTTTTTTTTTTTTTTTTTTGTTTTCCCCCCCCTGCCTCTGCCTCCTGAGTGCTGGGATTAAAGGTGTGTGCCACCTGGCTCAGGAAGGCAGTTTCTAATCAGCATAATTATGTAGCATTGAAATGAGTACCCCAATTGTTAACAATGGTATTAAAATTACAGAGAATAATAATCAATTTCGAGATCTGATAATGTTTTCTACTTTACCTAGAAAACATACTTTTAATGGCTGTTTATGTTATACATTAGCATACTATTTTTGAAACATGTACGATATCATCAATTTCAAAAAGTTTATTCATCCTAAGAGCACTCTATTTGACCACACCCTTTAGAAGACCCTGAATCTTATGGAATCTCATCACTTCATAAAGGAGATAGAGGTGTAATACAAATACATGAGTTGGGCAGACTCTGGCCAGTCAGATGGCGTGTCATGATCCTTTGAACAGGACAATGTACATCTGATTTCTCACAGCTTACTTCAGGCTTAACCCAAACACATTCATTTTAGATTCATCCCTATGACCCCGACTACTTCTCCAATCTCATATATCCAGAAATTTGGATCAATGAGAACCAGAAATGTGAATCTATCAGAAATCTGTGATGCAGCATTCCTTTCTGTGCTTTGAACTTCCTAATTCTTGCATCTCTACCCAGTCTTTGTTTCAGATGCACAATTCGAATTGGATAGTATGTGGTTGGATGACATGACTGTGATCCTGAGCATGCTGATGGTGTTTGTCATCATGCTCATTTCCTTTATTTACTTCATACTGAGAGGTAAATGGTGTGGGGAAGCTGGGGAACTCAAATGAGGGATGTACAGACATCCAGAAAGTTGACTTTCGGTTCTTTGTTTTGATAGCTGGGTTAAGAAAGAAAATAAGAGTTATCTAAAGACTTCTATCATGCAGCCTTCTTGGGATTCCTGGAGCCTCTATTAGCACCATTAGCACCAGTGTTTATACTTTCAATGACAATGACAATCTCAGCTCTGATTTCGCAGTGTGACAACTGTCTCTGGTAAACATGGAAAGCCCACTATGTTTCATCTAGACATTTTCTAGTGCATCTGAATACTGGCTTTTTTGCCTTATTTGCATAATTTCTTCACATTTGATTTCAAAGTTTGAACTACTCTATGAAAAACTTATTCATATTCACAGGAGTTAGAGTAGAAATATTTCTGAATCTTTATGCAATGGAAGTATACATTGTTAAAGCATCTGCTAACACGTGCCCAAGTTTAAAAGTTCTTGTTTTGTTGTGCAAATGTAAATTCCATGTGAAAAAAAATTAAAGCATTATAGAGTAGTAACCCAGGAAGAAAAATTTAAGGTTTGATTACTGTACTGTATCAATATCATACAATCTGACAAACCTTAAATCTATCTGAAACTGTGGTATGATTAACCTAATATATACCTTTTATTAGCAGTATATTGCTCACTAACATGCAAATCCCTGGTGAGTTAATTTGGAAAATAAATCTATTGTATTTTACTTTATGTGTATAGGTGCTTTGCATACATGGATATCTATGCATCATGTGTATATAGTGCTCACAGGGGCTAGAAGTGGGTACTATATCCTATAGGACTGCATTTACAGGTGGCTGTGAGCTGTCATGCAGGTGCTGGGAATCAAACTCGGGTCCTCTAGAAAAGCAAACAGTACTCCTAAACATTGAGCAATCTCTCTAGCCTGGTGATTAAGAAAAATAGTATATAACCTAGACTCAGAAAACAACATTGTACATTGCTTTCATCATTTACTTTCTCTTGGCTTTCCCTAGATCTTCTATTGAAAATGCCAAGTATCGAGTCATTCTATAAGACAAACCCATATGTGAGCACCTATCAAGCTTTTATTCATTTATTGCAGTAGTTAACAAGAGGCACAAGGAAAAGTGTGTCTAGCTACACACTGTTCCAATTTCATTATGGAACAATACTTGAGAAAACATCAGATGAAACATGGCTCAAGTTGGGGAAATCATCTCATCACCAAAGGGTGTGTCAGTTTATGAAGTAAAGAAGAAAGAGGTCACAGGGAAGGCTTAGGATTCGAAATGTACTGAGTCAGCTTGTAGAAGAACATTATATTTGGAGGCTCCCCAACTCCAACTATAAAAAATATATACAACTATAAAAATACAGAAGTAATTGGAAAGAGTCTTAGTTGAGGCACTAAAGAAAGAGGTCCCAAGAGTAGGCTCCTGAACTTTATATGCAAAGGAGCATGTCTACCTAAGGATCTGAATATTTTGACTCCAGGTACATTAAGGCACTGCCTGGGCATCAAGATTGGCATGGGAGGATAGCTTTCTCCCATATGGGCAAAGCCTTTGGAATTTCCTGGTGTGGCATAAACGATCACACCTAGAATACTGGTCAGGAGCCAGACTTCTCTCATCTCAGGGTTTACGTCTTGCTTGATATTTGTGTTACCTATGCTTGGTTTCTGCCACCAAGAGAAGTAACCTAGCCATTTTTTACAGTCACAAGGATGGGTTCATAATAGATAAAAGTAGTACAGAGCCTGTAGCAAACATTTTTAGTTCAAGTGTCATTTACCTCTTAACCTGGTGGTATTAACAACAGGGTTGAAGGCAGGAAGCATTACTGTTCCTTAATGAAGCAAATGTGAGCCCTCTTTCCAGTTACATGGAACTGCTTATTGCTACTGCTCCTCTGTGTCCCATGAAGAAAAAACACAGAGCTGATTCAGCTATTTAAATATTTTATTAATTTACATTTTCAGTTTTCCCAAAACTCTGTGAAAATAATATAATAATTAATTTGACCAACAGATTACACAATGTAACAAAGAAAAAACCATTCTATTTATCACCAAATGTGCTCTATTATGTCTCATATTGTGAATTTTATCCCATGCCTAGTTTGTCTTCTATAGTTCACTCAATGGCCTACTTTATCCCCCATGAGTTCATTCTTATTTTTAATGACCAGATTTTGAAATTGTTCATTTAACATTTCAACCATTTTTTACATTTCAAATACCTCTGTCCATTTTGATTTTATGATTATTCAATTGACACTGAAATGTTGACTTTCTTTTTCCTGTTACTTTGCTGTGACTTGTGGATCTATTGTTCAGTTCTTGCCATTCACTTCAAGTTTTTCTCACTGGAGGCTTCTCTTGAAGGCTCAGTCCCTAGTATCACTTAGTGGGGGAGAAAATAGATCATGTAGCAACAATGACCAAACTGAAATAAATAAAGAAATACAATGTTAAATATGTTTAAATATGTTAAAGTCACCAGTGACCATAGAAAATAAAACACAAAGACACATAGAGGAAGCAATAACCTCTGTCTTGAGATGCTGCCTGTCTGTAACTCTCCAAGACATGGAGAAAAATAAAATGGATTTCTTCTCCAATTCTAAAGTGACACACAGATTCACTGTCAAATTAAATGCCCCCACTGGATTTAAGACATAAGAAAGGTTGGCTTAGTTTGTGAGTTTGATTGGCAGTTTCTATTCACCAGGAATATATGACTAACCCATGGGTGTGGCTTTGACTTCTACTACTGTTAAAGACTTGAGTCTAGAGATTTGGACTATTGCTGTTTTCCTCCTTTTTTCTGGATGCCCTTTTGTGTCTCTGTGCTTTTCCTCTGTCTGACCTATTCTTTAATTATTTCTCCTGTTTTTCCTTCAGAGTAACTTATAAGTTATCTTATTAGTTATAACTTATAGTCCAACATTTTCTCAAGATGTCAAAAAATATCTTTTATTACAATTAAAATCCATATTTCAGTTATAAAGATGCTCTGTGCAGAATAATTTAGCCTATCTTCTGAAGAGACTTATTCCTTGCAAAATTCCTCCCATCAGACACTTTTCTCTCATTATTTTAAACTGGAGAATTCAAGTTAACCAATTTGTAAAGTAATGTTTTCTTCTTAATGCTTTTATAAATATCACAGCATCTCAAAGGAAATTAATATATTCTCAGTAGTGTTCCCATCTCAACTATCGCTTTGAATAAGAGATGAATTCACAATAACCAGTAAATTCTATTTCTTTAACAGACCATCAAACAAGAACACAGGATTAAACACAAGAGATCCCAAAGACAGAGCACCATGGATAGAGAATCTACAGTACAACTATGTGCTATTTTATCACAGAACAAAATAACTATGATCACAGAATTTTGAATATGACCAAGTATTTGACATTGTGAGTGTGAAAATATATCTGGCTATTCAAGTTTGCATATTTGTGGCTCCTGTGAACAGTGACCTAACCTACCTACTAAAAGGTGGAAATAAAATCAGAACAGTGGGTAGAGTGATAACAAGGATAAAAATCAATAATCCAAAATATGGAAATGGAAGTAATTTTCAGAAAATAAAAAGAATTTTATTAACACTTGTGTTTAATTACTTGTGTTTAATTACTCTTAGTAATCATAAATATTTGTAGGGATTAAGTGTCTTAGTTAATTGATCATAATTTTTAAGCTGACAAAAAGATACATACTATACATTCTCACTTATTTCTGAAAATTCACTACCAATCTGATAGAAGAAGAGAATTAATTAATAGTAGACACTGGGAAATTCCCATGAGGGGCTTTATGTACAAAAAGTGCAATGGAGTGTCTCAAGATATGAAGTAAAATTATTTCTGGTTCATCTCTAAAGCATAGTAGAATGGCTACATTTAAAAAGTATAATAGCTCAAAAATGACTAGATAAAATTCAAATATCCCAGCACATCACAATGATGAAAGGTGGAAGATGTAGATGCCTATTACCTGAGTCAATTATTAGACTTTGAATTATATATCAAGTAGTTTGATATATAATATCTCCTAAAAGCTCCTGCAGTAAAGCATTGTTCCTTGCCTTGTGGTTTTAGAGTGTGGAGACATATATCAGGCTGTGGAGCCTAGATGAAATAGATCACTGGAGGCATATTCGCATGTGCTATGAATTTATGCCTGACCCCTACATCATCCTTCTCCTCCTCTTTTCCTCTTCCTTCTTTGTCTTCCACCTTTTCCTCGTCTTCTACTGAATCTTCCTCCTCTCCTCCTCCTTCTTGCTCTCTATTCCACCCTCCTCTCTCTTTCTCCCTAGACAAAAGATGAAAACCCTCACCTTACCAAAACAATGCATCCAGATGACCATGATATAAACTCTCTAAAATCATTCACTGTCAAGGAAACCAGCCCTCAGGCCAGGTACTGAAGAGGAAGCATGGAGTCAATAAAATATTGGACAGATGAACATGGACACTTTATCTGAAGAGCAAAGCTTAAATCTTCATTTTATTTTTCTCTTTCTGCTGCTCCTACTGTTCATTCTACTATTCTGTTCTGTTCTGTTCCCTTCTGTTGGGAGCCATGCAGCCTAGTCACAGATCAGCATATGTCCAATGGGTTTCCTCAGAGCAATGCACCTGTGAAAATGGACTCTCCCTTGACAAGGACCAGTCGTCCACAAAGCAGTGTAGGAATTTGAAAAATGCATGCAGCTTGCTGGCTCTTTTCTCTCTCATACTGGTGATTCTTTGGGCAGTTTTTTTTTTTTAAGTTTTACTTTGTCGGTCACACATGCAGCAGCTATAATTTTTCCCTACAAATTCTGTTCCTTTCAAATATTTTGCCCTAAGATTCAACAAGGGGCTAATGTTTCTCAAATCTCTTACCTGGAATTACTCTACAACTGTTAATCCTAGGAGTTTTGTGACTCAATAGAGATAGTTAGGTATATATCCGAAAACAGCACTTGGAACATTAACCATATCACTCAGTTCAGGAAAGGAGAATAGCAAATGCACACAGAAGAGGGGGGAGAGCCTCAGGAATACACATACTGTCAACTGATGAGAGTAAGTCCCATGGCAGCAATTATATAGATTCAATAATAAGATGTAGTATATACTAGTGGGAAAAATACAAAGTAAAATATGAGATGGACAGATCCATCTTTACCATGCTTATATTGGTGGAAAAACTATGGTATAGTGAGATGGGAAAAGAATGCTTTGTCGAGAACTACAGACCAATTTCCCTCATGAACATTAATGCAAAAATACTCAAGAAAATACTGGCAAATCTAATCCAAGAACATATCAGAAAAATCATCCAACATGATCAAGTAGGCTTCATCCACGGGATGCAGGGTGGTTCAACATATGAAAATCTATCAATGTAATCCACCATATAAACAAACTGGAAAACAAACACCACATGATCATCTCGCTAGATACTGAAAAAGCCTTTGACAAAATCCAACACCCTTTCATGATAAAGGTCCTGGAGAGATCAGGGATAACAAGAACATACCTGAACATAATAAAAACAATATACAGTAAACCAACAGCCAACATCAAACTAAATGGAGAAAAACTAAATGTGATTCCTCTAAAATCAGGAACAAGTCAAGCTTGTCCACTCTCTCCATATCTCTTCAATGTTGTACTTGAAGTTCTAGCTAGAGAAGTAAGACAACAAAAGGAGATCAAGGGGATACAAATTGGAAAGGAAGTAGTCAAACTTCTGTTGGCAGATGATAGTTTACATAAGTGACCTGAAAAACTACCAGGGAGCTCCTACAGTTGATAAACACCTTCAGCAAAGTGGCAGGATACAAGATGACCTCAAATAAATCATTAGCCCTACTATATACAGACAATAAATGGGATGAGAAAGAAATCGAGAAACATCACCCTTTACAGTAGTCACAAACAACATAAAATATCTTGGGGTAACACTAACCAACAAGTGAAAGACATGTATAGCAAGAACTTTGAGTCTTTAGAAAAAAATTAAAGAAGATACCAGAAAATGGAAAGATCTCCCATGCTCTTGGATAGGTATAATCAACATAGTAAAAATGGCAATCTTGGCAAAAGCAGTATACAGATTCAGTGTATTCCCCATCAAAATACTGGCACGATTTTTCACAGACCTTGAAAGAACAATACTCAACTTTATATGGAGAAACAAAAGACCCAGGATAGCCAAAACAACCCTGCATAATAAAGGAACTTCCAGAGGCATTACCATCCCTGACTTCAAGCTCTATTATAGAGCTATAGTCCTGAAAACAGCTTGGTATTGGCACAATACCAATGGAATAGACCAATGGAAGATAGACCAATGGAATAGAATTGAAACCCCTGATATTAATCCACATACCCACGAACACCTGATTTTTGACAAAGAAGATAAAGTTATACAATGGAATAAAGAATGCATCTTCAACAAATAGTGCTGGTATAACTGGATTCTGGCATGTAGAATATTACAGATAGATCCATGTCTATCTCCATGAACAAAATTTGAGTCCAAATGGATCAAAGACCTCAACATAAATCTAGCCACACTGAACCTCTTACAAGAGAAAGTGGGAAATAGCCTTGAAGGAATTGGTACAGGAGACCATTTCCTGAACATAACACCAGTAGCACAGACACTGAAATCAACAATTAATAAATGTGAACTCCTGAAACTGAGAAGCTTCTGTAAGGCAAAGGACACAGTCAGCAAGACAAAACAGCAGCCCACAGAATGGGAAAAGATATTCACCATCCCTACATCCAACAGAGGGCTGATCTCCAAAATTTACAAAGAACTCAAGAAGCTAGTTTCCAAAACACCAAATAATCCAATTAAAAAGTGGGGTAGAGAACTAAATAGAGAATTCTTAATAGAGGAATATAAAATGGCTGAAATACACATAAGAAAGTGTTCAACTTCCTTGTTCATCAGGGAAATGCAAATGAAAATAACGCTGAGATACCATTTTACTCCTGTCAGTATGGCTAAAATAAAAAACACCAATGACAGTTTATGCTGAAGAGGATGTGGAGAAAGGGGAACACTCCTCAACTGTTGATGGATGCCAACTTATACAGCCACTTTGAAAATTAGTATGGTAAGTCCTCAGGAAAATGGGAATCAGTCTTAGACAAGATCCAGCAGTTCTGCTCCTAGGCATATGCCCAAAAGATGCACATTCATATGACAAGGATATCTGTTCAACCATGTTCATAGCAGCATTATTTGTAATAGCCAGAACCTGGAAGCAGCCTAGATGCCCCTCAACTGAAGAATAGATACAGAAAATGTGGTACATTTACACAATGGAGTACTAATCGGCATTAAAAAGAAAAACCAATGGAATCTTGAAATTCATAGGCAAATGGATGGAACTGGAAGAAACCATTCTGAGTAAGGTAACCCAGTCACAAAAAGACAAACATGGTATGTACTAACTTATATATGGATTTAGACATAGTGCAAAGAATTACCAGCCTACGATCCACACTGCCAGAGAAGCTAGTAAACAAGGTCCCTAAGAGAGACATACTTTCCCCTGGAGAAGGGGAAAGGGACAAGATCTCCTGAGCAAATTGGGAGCATGGGGGGATGGGAGAGGGAACTAGGAGAATGAGAAGGGGAGGAGAGGTGGAGTGAGGAGACACTGAGGGAGAAGGAAGGTTGAGTTGGGGAAGAATAGAGGAGAGCAAGATAAGCGATACCATAATAGAGGGAGCCATTATAGGTTTAAAGAGAAATCAGGCACTAGGGAAATGATCTACAGAGATCTACAAGGATGACATCAACTAACAATTGAAGCAACAGAGGAGAGGCTGTCTTAAATGTCCCTGCCTGATAATGAGATTGATGATTACCTTATATGCTATCCTAGAGCCTTCGTGGAGTAGCTGATGGAAGTAGAAGCATACACCCACAGCTAAACACTAAGCTGAATTCTGGAATCCAGTTTGCAGAGAGGGAGGGGTGATGATCAAAGGGGTCAAGACCAGGCTGGTGAAACCCACAGAAACAGCTGACCTGATAGTTGGGAAACCAGCACGGGATTGATCCAGACCCCATGAACGCGGGCGTCAGTGAGGAGGCCTTGGAAACCTATGGGGCCTCTTGTAGTAGATCAGTACTTATCCCTAGCATAGGAATGGACTTTGGGAGACCATTCCAAATAGAGGGATACTCCCTCAGCCTAGACACATGGGGGAGGGCCTAGGCCCTATCCCAAAGGATATGACAGACTCTGAAAACCCCTCCCTGGGGACCAGAAAGGGTATGGTGTAGGTAATGTGTTAGTGGGAGGCAGGGGAGGAGGGGAGGAAGAGGGAACTGGGATTGACATGTAAAACCATCTTTTCTAATTTAAAAACATAGAAAAAATAGTGCTTTGTGAAAATTTATTTTTCACAAAAGATTGATACTTAGAACCCTCTTGTAGAAAAGGTAACTGTTTACAATATATTTTGCAGATGTAAAAGAATTGTCTGGGTTTGAAAATTGTTGTCCTTAAAGCTTCACACCCATGTTTATTACTTTAATTTTGTAACCATGATTATCTGCCTGCTGACATAAGTGCTGTGAGAGCAGAATGTGTCTGGCTCAATATTAAGTTAAGTCTGTAAAAATACTGGACTCTGTGTCTAGAATAAGGTTATGTAGGAGGTGGGAAGGTACATTGGGAAGCATAAAGGGGAATAATAGGAGTTTTCATTATGATCACAATGTATTCCTTATATTGTGATGTGTTTCTTAAAGTCAAAATTAGAAGCCTATAATAAAACTGTTCATGTAACGCTGCTAAGAAAACACAAACCTTTTTAAGTATAAATAAAGATGGCCTGAGCTTTTCCAGGCCACTTGAGTGCAACTACTTGGTGGTCAGAAGTTTTCCTTGTACCAACACCCCTTCCCTGCCTCAGGACCTAAGCCAGAACCAATTTATTTCTAATTTAAATCCTCAGAGTGCACAACCATTTATTTATTTATTTATTTATTTATTTATTTATTTATTTATTTATATGAGAAACAAGCTTGTTTTACATGTCAATCCCAGTTCTCCTCCTCCTCCCTGCCCCCCCCCACCAAACCCCTATCCCATCTCCTTTCTGCTCCCCAGGGAGGGTGAGGCCTTCCATGGGGATCTTCAAAGTCTGTCATATCATTTGGAGCAACCATTTTTATAAACAATTTTTTATTAAATCATACCAGGAAGCCATGTATAAAATGGATACAAAAAATTAATCATTACCTTTGATCACCAACTCTTCTTTAGCGAGAAAGACACTTCAGCTACTAATAACCAGGCTGCCTTTGTTCTTGTTCCTTGACATCAATGAGTCCCTCACTCAACTATTAAAAGTGTGCCTTTCTAAGCTTTAAGTTGTTCCCTAAGATTTTCTACAACAAGCCATTAACAAAAACATCTTAACCTAACTTTACTAACAATCTACATCTCTAAATTCTTTCTAAGGGTGGTAGTTGAACCATTAATCTGCTCCAGCAGCCGTGCTTGGAAAATGTTAATCACTATTATTGTTTAAGGACCAGTGGCATGGCCTAGTGAAGGGCTAGAAACCCCCTGAGAGTTTTCATACAACCCATAGATTATGAGGAATGTGGTGACCATAAGGGTAATAAGCAGAACTACGCTCAACAAAGCATGCCATCCTCAGGAAACTAGTCCTCCATGTTTTACCTCTCCAAGGCTCACCCAGCATGGTTACACTAACCACTGGGCTATTGTCCATGAGTTCCAAAGCTGCTTGATGCTCCTCTTGCATAGCCCCCACAACCTATTAAAAGTATTTCTCCTTTAAATAGATTAACTTGGTTATTTCTTACAATAATGAAAATCGTACTAACAGAACATTTAAACAGAAACAAAAGATAATTGCTGTGTCACCAATTTCTATGAGTAGTGTGTCATGCTTTGGAACTGGTTTGTGAGCGTTTCTAGGGAGATTCAGGTAGGATATTGTAAAAAGAACAGATTCTAATAGCAATGTGGGTAATAAAGACTAAGCTCATGAGTTCTCAGGGGGGAGCAAGAACTTTTTTTGACAAATGGACCAGAGAGAATTCATGTTACATTCTGACAAAGAATTTGTTGACATTTTTTCAAGTCACTACTGGTGAACTAATTATTTTTTCAGAGGAACTGTCACCCCAGCATTTAGCTGTAGTATGGATTGGTATCTTCTTTTTTTATTACAAGTAGAACTGTGAACAAAAAGGAGAGCAGTTGCAGTTTGTCCAAAAAGGAAAAGAAACTGTAAAGTTTTGGCCAAGGAAACCATGGTCCTGAAGATATTGGGACCATTAGAAAATGGGGAATTGCCTTGAATGCATCTCAGTTATTGGCTAGATCCCACACATCACAAGCTGAGGGCATTCACTTTTGGAATTTTTTTTTAGAAGAAGCCTTCAGGGTAACTTGTGAGCACAGGGTCACAAAAGAAATACCCTTACATTCTTTAGTCTAGGCACACAGACAGCACTGCCACCATGGTCCAAGAGAATGTACTTATCATTTGAGCTGGCAACATTCTCTGGTGTCCTACATGTGATGCTGTTTGGAGCACTGTTACATTAAGTATAATTAAGGAGAAATTAACATCTATTCACTCTATACTGAGGACCAGGGACAGGTCAAATAAAACTTCCACCAAAGTCCAACTTGGTGAGCCACTGAAATTATTGGGATTACTTGAGGAACATGAGTGGTGAGCCATTCACAGAAGCATGAGTGGTCCTAAACAGCTTCATCATGGCAAAATCTTCCCATTGTTAATGCCAACCTCATTAAGCAGCCCCTGTTCAGGTAACCTCCCCTTCTTTATATATTCTGTAATCTCCCAAGATTATTTGTAGCAAGGATGTGGTGGGAAGGAGGGATCCATGGCTACAACCTCAGATGATAAGCCTCGGACCCTCCCCTTCTCACTTCTCCTGCTGAATGTCAACCTCATTACCATTACCACAGACTTTGCTACGTGTATTGTTCTGATGTGATCTCTCATTTTTCTGACCCAGCAACCTACTGTCATACCTCTCTCTGTAGCCATCGGGGACTCCACCCCTCCCTGAAACCATAATCAAAGATAAGCTTTCTTTGATAAGTCACTTTAGGTTCTGGCATTTTATCACAGCATCCAAAAGTGACTAATAGAGCTATTGATTACCAAAGAGTGGGATGTTGCTGTGAGGAATCCTACTTGCTGATTTTTGAAGAAATGTGGAAGACTTTGGAATTTTTGACTAGCAAAAGCAGTTGAACACTATGCACAGAACTTAGCAGGCTATTCTACTGTGAACCTGGAAGATAGTGCTGAGGATAGTGTGGACTAAGCAACTCAAGAACTTCCAAGGGAAATAAGGTCTCTGTAAACAACTGGGCATAAAGCCATTCACTGGATACTTTGACAAAAATATCTGGCTACCTTCTGTCCACATCCTGCTAATTTGCACATGGCTGAACATAAAAATAATAGACTCATTTCTTTGGCCTAAGAAATTTCAAGAGTGCTCAATTTTAGAAAACGGTTTCTCTCTCTCGCCCAGAAGCTAACAATTGCCAATAACTCTAAAACTAGGGATGAAATTTCATGTCCACTTCCCATTACTTGCTGGGATAGGTCCTTTGTGTGCTGTTACAGTTATTGTGAGTTAATGCATGTAGCTGTCTTATAGTATCAGAATATATGTTTTCTTGTAGTTACTACTTCTGGCTCACACATGCTTCTTTAATGATCCCTGAGCCCTCAGAAGGGGTTCTAGTATACATGACCCCTTTAGGGCTGAGCATCCTGTAGTTGTTTATTGCATGTACATTGACCAGTTGTGAGTCTCTGTGTTACTCATTGTCTGCTGCAAATGTAAGCTTCTCAGGTGAGCTTTCAGCGATGCAGTGGTCTATGAGTGTAATAGCAAGTCGTTAGGAATCGGTTTAATGCTATGTCCATTTATCAGTATTATAGGTAGTAGGTCCCCCAGACCTCTCACCCTGCAGCCTATGTCCTGTTTAGCCAGATATGGGATTCATCTTGTGGATTGGAACTTAAATCCAATGAAAAGTGGTTGGTTAATCTTTTGATGTCTGTGCTGATATTAGAACGGCAGGCTTTCGGGGTTCAAAGCTGGGTTTAATTAATGTTTACTTTTATCTGCTGGCATCATACATAGTACCTTCCAGAACTATGAAAACTAGGTAATATGGATAGAGCTTTCGGATCTGAGCTGGAAAGATGGCTCAGTCATTAAAGAATACAGCTCACATTTAGTGATTTCTTTTACTACTTCTTTACATTGAAACTGTTTTTTTTATCATTGTTTAAGCATATATTCTTGAAAAACATCCAAACACCTATTTCATTTCATTTAGTTTCAGCATCATCTTGAAAACCAGAGGTTTGGGTCCATGATATTTCTGATTGGTGTATTTTAAGGGCTTTTTTCACTTTCATTTTGTGTATGTTTGTCTGTGTCTGTGTGTGGATATGCGCATGTGAGTGCATATTCAAAAAGAACCTGGGAAAAGGTTTTGGGTTCTCTGAAATTGGATTGGCATGTGGTTATGAGCCATCTAACATGGGTACTGGGAGCCAAACTCTGGTCCTCTAGAAGAGTAGCAAATGCTACTCAGTGATGAATCACTGAGCCATCTCTCTAGTCCTTCTCACTGATATATTTTAATTCCCTCAGGAGCTATTCAGACTCTGTGATTCAGTTTATGTTTACTAATAACCTTCCTATAAATGTAGATATTTTCATACATCATAGTTATAATTTATGGTACTATTATATTTGCTTTCATTCTATTTTATGAAAATTTGTCAAAAAAGTCATTTTTAACAAATTCAAATTGATTCAATACTTACTGAGTTTAAGATGTGGAGGAGAGTATGCATCACAGGCCACACGGACACTTATTGTCATCTATATGGTGACAATGCTCAAAATCTATGTTTTTGCCCTGAAATTATATATATATATATATGTATATATATATATATATATATATATATAAAGGAGACTATTAATTTGAGGGGATGGCAAGGGAAGGGTTGGAAGGAGCTAGGGAAGAAAGAGAAAGGGGGAAGCAATTTAATTCTAATTTCATTTAAATATATATATTTAAAATCTACACTTTTTAGACAGAACAAAAGAACCCCTCAATTGATCAAAGAACCGCTAATTGTGTGTTTTATGGATATAAATTCTATAGTTCAAATCAGTATCCTTTTCTGTCTTTGTTTACTGCCTCAAGTTTCCCGGTTGAGATTGCAATCCAGTCTTAAAGGCTGAAGAGCATTGAAGATAGCCTCTTCACAATCTTCTTGGTGCTGACCGAAGTTATCCTCCTCATAATTTCCTTGGAGCTGCATGGTTTCCTCTCTGTAACGTCCTAGGACCTGAGCAGATAAATAGATATTTTACTCTGAGAGGGATCTAAGAAACTCCGTATTCATGGAAGGTTGTGGGGTCATCTGGTGGTATTATTTGACACATCAACACACACACACACACACACACACACACACACACACACACTACATCATATAGCAACTTCTTATTCACAATCTTCATATTACTGTTAAAAACGAGCCCCATAAGATAGTCAAGAACCACAGTGTTAGGAAATCAATAGACTTAAGGCAGAATCTGTAAATCTTGGTAGATGAGGATATTTTGTCTCAGTTGTTTGGTGTATATACACAGAACTCTATTTTAATAAAGGCATGGGATTCCCTTGTGCTGTTGTGAAAATATAGGGGGCTGTCAGCTCTCTTAAGATGGCTGGTTTCAACATCTTAAATTTTGACTTTAGGAATGAGATCTCTGGAAGTGCTATCTTTTTTTTTTTTTTTGATTTTTCAAAACAGGGTTTCTCTGTGTAGCTTTGTAGACCAGGCTGGCCTTGAACTCACAGAGATCCACCTGACTCTGTAATCTGCCTCTGAAGTGCTATAATTAAAGGTGTGTGCCACCACTGCCCAGCTTGGAAGTCTTATCTTTATAGATTATTTAAAGCAAAGGTGACTAGAACAGCTCATTTTTAGAAAAATAATGAAGTGTGAAGTACCTATTATTTATTCTTCTCTCATACAGTACATCCTGACTAGTTTCCCCTCCTTCAACTCCTCCTAGTTCCCTTCACTACCTCCCCTCTCTCCCTGATCCAGTCCTCTGTTTCAGAAAAGAGCAGGCCTCCCAAGGATACCAACTAAATGTGGTACAAGATGAAATAAGACTAGGCACATAGCCTTACATCAAGGCTGAACAAGGCAATCTAGTAAGAAGGAAAGCATACAATGAGCAGGTGAAAAAGTCAGAAACATCCCCTCTCCCACTGTAAGGAGTCCCACAAAAATACCAAGTTAACAACCATAACATTTTCAGAGGACATAACACAGGCCTGTGCAGGCTCTGGGCTTACCACTTCTGTCTCTGTAAGCCCCTATGAGCCCTACTTAGTTGATTCTGTGGGCCATGTTTTTGTGTTGTCCTTGAACCCTCTGGTTCCTACAATTCTCTACCACCCTCACTTTCTGTGGGATTCCCCTAGCTCCAAAATGGAGGGACCTGATGAAGACCACCTAATTTGGGCTTTCCCTCCACCTAACATTTGGCTGTGGGTCGATGTATCTGCTCCCATCAGCTGTTAGAAGATGCCTCTCTGATGACAACTGGGCTAGGCACTTATCTATGAGTATAACAGAGGATCATTAGGAATCATTTCAATGATTCTTTTTCTATCCTGGGTCTCTATGCTATCCAGTCTCCAGTTCCTGGTCCTCCAGACAGTGTCAGGCATGAGCTCCCTCTCCTGACATGGTCCTCAAGATAGAACAGTCATTGATTGGCCACTCCCACAAGTTCTGCACCTCCATTGCCCCAGCACATCTCATAGGCAGAATACTTTGTAGGTCAAAAGTTTTGTGGCTGGCTTGGTCCAATCTCACCACTGGAAGCCTTTCCTGGTTACAGGAGATGGCTGGTTTGTGATCTGTATCCTCTGGTACTAGGACTCCTTGACAGGGTCACCCTCATAGAATTCTGGAAGTTTCTACTGAACTAGGTTTCCATATCTCCCCTCAAAACACTAATCCCATTCTTCTCTCCCAGTGCTCTGCCCCTCCATTCGTCCCCCAAAGTGACCCTTCCTGTTCCCATTCCCACTTGACCCAAGAACACTCATAAAAATCTATTCAATTTCCCCTTCCTAGAGAGATACATGTGTCTTCCTTAGAGCTCTCCTTATTACTTAGCCTTTCTGGATCTAAGGATTGTAGCATGATATTAATTTACATAATAGCTCATGTCCATTTATAAATGAATACATACCATGTTTGTCTTTCTGGGTCTGTGTTACCTCACTCAGGATGATTTTTTCTATATCCATCCATTTGGCTGTAAATTTCATGATGTAATTTTTTAACATCTGAGTAATACATCCTTGTATAAATGTACCACATTTCTTTAACCATTCTTTCAATGAGGGGCATTTAGGTTGTTTCTAGTTTCAAGCTATTATGAATAAAATCACTACAGAGATAGTTGAGCAAGTATCTTTGTGGTAGGATGGAGTATTCATTGGGTATATGCACTCCCCCCAGCAATGGACGAGGGTTCCCCTTGCTCCACATTCTCACCCACATGAGCTGCTACTTGTGTTATTGACATACTGAAAGGTACAAGATGGAATTTCAAGGTAGTTTTGATTTATATTTCCTGATGGCTAAGGATGTTGAACATTTCTTTGTTTCTCAGAAATTTAAGATTTATCTATTGAGAATTCTGTTTAGATCTTATACAATTTTTATTGGATTATTTGGTTTGTTGGTGTCCAATTTCTCTAATTCTTTATATATTTTGGATATTAGACCTTTGTCAGAGGTGTAGTTGGTGAAAATCTTTTCTTGTTTTATAGGCTTCTGTTTTGTCCTATTGATGGTGTCCTTTGCCTTACAGAAACTTTTCAGTTTCATGAGGTCCCATTTATCAATTGTTGATCTTAGTGCCTGTGCTATTAGTGATCTGTTCAGGAAGTTGTCTCCTGGACCAGCATGTTCAAGTCTATTATCCACTTTCCCTTCTATCAGATTCAATATATCTGATTTTATGTTGAGGTCTTTGACCCACTTGGATTTAAGTGGATTTGTGCAGGGTGATAAATACGTATCTATTTGCATTCTTCTATATGCAGATATCCAGTTATACCAGGACCATTTGTTGTACATGCTTTCTTTTTCCCATTGTATACTTTTGGCTTCTTTACCAAATATCAGATTCCTCTGGTGTGTGAATTTATATCCGGGTCTTAAATTAAACTCCATTCAACCTTTCTCTTTTTATGCTAATACCATGTGTTTTTTTTTCTCTTACTCCACAATACAACTTGATATCAGGGATGGCAACGCCTCCAGAGGTTCTTTTAGTGTTCAGAACTATTTTAGCTGTCTTGGGATGCTTGTTTGTTTGTTTTTTCAAATGCAGTTGAGTATTGTCTTTAAGGAATTGTGTTGTCATCTTGATGGTAATTACATTGAATCTATAGATTGCTTCTAGTATGATGGTCATTTTTACTATGGTAGTCCTACCAGTTCTTGAACATGGGAAATCCTTATATCTTCTGATATCCTCTTCAATTTCTTTTTCCAAAAACTTGATATTTTTCTCATACAAGTCTTTTACTTGCTTGGTTAGTTAGCCCAAGATATTTTATATTATTTTAGGCTCCTGTGAAGGGTGTTATTTTCCTGATTTCTTACTCAGTCCATTTGTTATTTGCGTATAAGAGAGCTACTGATTATTATTTATTTTAGAGTTAATCTTGTATCCAGCCTCTTTGCTGAAGGTATTAATCAGCTATAGACATTCCCTGGTAGAATTCAGTGGGCCATTTATGTATGCTATCATATTATCTGTGAATAATTGATACCTTGACATCTTCCTTCCAATTTCTGTTCCTTTGATCTCCTTCACTTATCTTATTGTTTTAGCTAGAACTTCAAGAACTATATTAAGTAGATATGGAAATAGTAGACACCCTTGCCTTATTCCTGATCTTAGAAGAATTTCTTTGACTTTCTCTATATTTAATTTGGTATTGGCTATAGGTTAGCTATAAATTGCTTTGTTATGTTGAGGTATGTTCCTTGTATTCCTGATCTCTCCCAAGAATTTATGTCTATGCCACAAATGCAAGAATACCCACTCTTGTAAAAGAAACATTACTAAAGATTAAATCACACAGTGACCCTCACACATTGATGCTAGGAGACTTTAGTTCCCCACCTTCACCAATAGACAAGTCATGCAGGCAAAACTCAACAGAGAAATACTGGAGCTAACTGATGTTATAAATCAAATGGATCTAACAGATATCTACTGAAAATTTTACCAAACACAAAAGAATATACCTACTTCTCAGAGCTTCACCAAACTTTCTCTAAAACTAACCATACACTCAGTCACCAAAACAAGTCTCAACATATACTAGAAAATGTGAAATCACACCCTGAATCTTATCAGACTCCCATGGATTAAGACTTTATTTCAACAACAGACACAACAGAAAGCATGCAATTTCATGGAAATTGAACAACTCTCTACAGAGTAAAAAATGGGTCAAGACAGAAATAAAGAAATCTAATACTTTCTAGAATTCAGTAAAAAAGAACACAAGCATACCCAACTTTATGGAACACAATGAAAGTAGTGCTCAGAGGAAAGTTTATAACACTAAATGCTTACATTAAAAAATTGGAGAGATACCATATTAATAACTTAACAGCACAACTGAAAGCTCTAGAACAAAAAGAAGCAGGCACACCTAAGAGGAATTTGTTAGGAAATAATCAAGCTGAGGACTGAAATCAATAATATATAAACAAAGAGGTCAATACAAAGAATCAATGAAACAAAGAGTTGACTCTTTGAGAAAAATCAACAAGATAGGAAAAACCCTTATCCAAACTAACTAAAAGACACAGAAAGAATATCTAAATTAACAAAATCAGAAACAAAAAAAGGGGTCATAACAACAAACACTGAGGAAATTCAAAGAATCTTTAGCTCATACTTTAAAAACTTACACTCTCTAAAATTGGAAAAACATAAAATAAATGGATAATATTCTTGATAGAACCCACTTACCAAAGTTAAATAAAGATTATATAAACACTTTAAATAGACCAATAACCCCTAAGGAAATAAAAGTAATCATTAAAAATGTCCCAACCAAAAAAAAAGTCCAGAACCAGACAGTTTCAGTGCAGAATTCTACCAGACTTTCAAAGAAGGTTTAATACCAATACTCCTCAAATGATTCCACAAAATAGATACAGAAGAAACTTTGTCCAACTCATTTTATGAGGCTATAGTCGTCCTGATACCCAACCCACAAAAGCATTCAACAAAGAAATAGAATTACAGAACAGTTTCCCTTATGAGCATAAATACAAAAATACACAATACTTGCAAACTGAATCCAAGAATATGTTAAAAGGATCATCCACCATGACCAAATAGGCTTCATCCTCAGTACTGCAGGGGCAGTTTAACCAAAAAAACAAACAAACAAACAACAATCAATGTAATCCACTATGTAAACAAATTGGATGGGGAAAAAAAAACATGCTCTATGTCCTTAGATGCTGAAAAAGCCTTTGACAAAATCCAACACCACTTCATGCTTTGTAGCCTCTTTATCACTGTTACTGATTTGCTAAGAGCCTCAGAATTTTATTGATTCTATTAGCCACATCCCTTATGAGTGACCCATTTCTTCGCTGTTTCTGTAAGATATGGGTTTCTGATCTGCCTTGTCCCGCATATAGGTTGTATTAATCCAACAGCACTTATAGTGAAATGTCTTTTTGCAGATGTGGCTCCTTCCTCAGCAATCAAATAATTCAAAAACAACACAATAACACACAGTATACAGACTCTCTGTGTATTTTCCATCTTTATGTGGCTTTTTAAACTCTATTTCTTTTATTTTATTTTATATTTCTCAGTTTTTTTAAGACAGGGTTTTTCTGTGTATCTTTGACTGTCCTTGAAATCTCTCTGTACACCAGGCTGGCCTTGAACTCACACCTGTAATGGTCAAAACTTATAGTCATGTTAGTTAGGTTTTCTAGATGTACAGAGATATATTTCAAATGGATAGGTATTCTTCAAAATCTTTCAAAGACCTACAGAATATGTCATTTAAAATTGTTTATTATAATTTTTCGTGATAATGAGACACAACTGCTTCTGGAACCCAACAGTTTACATCAGAGATGAAGATGGGCATCAAAGAAACTTGTTATAGAGTTGGCCTTGAATGTGGCAAAACTGGCCTATTGGGCAAAGAACTGACCTTGCCTCAACTACTGACAATAAGCATGCTGTCCAAACTGGACAAACAGGTTACAAAGGAAAGTGACTGATAAACTTGACAAGAGACAGAATGGTCCTTCGGGGTTCCTGCCATAAAAAAGAAATCAACTGATGAACTTTGCCAATACAAGACAGAACAGATCTTCAAATTTCCTACTTCATTAAAAAGTCTTCCATACATTATGGCTTATGGGATAAAGATGAATGCCCCAACTTTACAGAGAAACTTTGGGTGACTGTCCATGCAGTGAGATGTCTCTATCAATTCTAGAGATTATATATTATGCTTTTGAGGTCTTTGATGTAGTTGAAGACAGGTGGTTATGGTTACGGTTTTCTTAGTTATGATAAAAGGTAAGTTACATGTAAAACGTTAGACTCACAAAGATGATAGAATATTTTCTTTAAATTTTGGCAAATGTTAGTGGACTAAATATTGTAACTATAGTTTTTGCTTGATAACTGTTTTGTTATATATAATTTTACTATATTAAAGTTAAAACTGTCCTTTTTATTTAGACAGAAAAGAGGAGATGATGGGGGAATGTCCTCCTGTGAATATATGTTTCTCTTATTGGTTGATGAATAAAGCTGTTTCGGCCAATGAACAGGCAGGATGTAACCTGGAAGGAAAGATAGCAGGGCTCTCAGACCAGGAGAGGTCAGGGAAGAGAAAGGCAGTGAGATGCCATGTAGCTGCCTAGGAAGCAAAATGCCATCACCAGTAAGCCAAGACCATGTGGAGATATACAGATTAATAGAAATGTGTTAATAATTAAGAAAGGGCTAGCCAGTAAGAAGCCCAAACAATAGGCCAAACAGTTTACAATTAATATAAGCCTCTGTGTGTTTATTTTTGGACTAAACAACTACAGGACCAGGTGAGAGAGAGACTTTCATCTACAGATGCTCGATCATACCACAAGGTAACCCAGTCTCACAAAGGCAAACACAGTTTGTATTCACTCATAAGTAGATATTAGATATAAAGTAAAGGATAACCATACTAAACTCCAAAGCTCCAGAGAAGCTAGGTAACAAGGAGGATCCTAAGAGGGACTCATGGAATGCCCTGAGAAGGGGAATTAGATGAGATATGCCCAGTAAACTGGGGGGAGGGGGGAGGGACCATGAGGGAAAGTGATGGTCAAATTGGGAGAGGCACAGAGTGGAAGACGAATGAAAGAGGTATCTTGATAGAGAGAGCAATTATGGAGTTAGGGAGAAACCTGGTGCTATGGAAAATCCCAGGAATCCACAAGGATGACCCCAGCTAAGACTCCTAGCAATAGTGGAGTGTGTGCCTGGATGAACCGTGCCCTATAATCAGAATGGTGAATACCCTAATTGTAATCAAAGAGCCTTCATCTAGTAATTAATGGAACCAGATGCAGAGATCCACAACCAAGCACCAGGCTGAGTTCCAGGAATCGAGTTGAAGAGAGGGAGGTCAAAATCATGAAGGGGGAATCTACAGAGACAGCTGAACCAAACTCATGAGAACTCTAGACAGACAGCTGTGGAGCCTCCATGGGACTGAACTAGGCTCTCTGCATGTGGGAAACAATTGTGTATCTAGGTCTATCTGAGGGGATCCAGACTGAAGGACCAATATGTGCCCCTAGTGCATGAGTTAGCTCATTGGAGCCCAATGAGCTATGGTGGGATGCCATGGTCAGGCTTAATGCAGGGGGAGGGGCTTGGTCCTGCCTCAACTTAATGGACCAGGTTTCATAAACTCCCCATGGGAGCCCTTACCCTGCAGGAGAAGTGCATGGGAGTAGGCTGCAGGGGGCTTGGAATGCAAAATGAAATTTTAAAACAGAAATAGAGAAGAATTTTGGAGAGATCTCATACTAGTGACTTAACAGCACACCTGAAAGCTCCAAAACAAAAGGAAGCAGACACACCTAAGAGGAGTAGATGTCAAGAAATAATCAAACTGAGGGCTGGAATCGATAAAATAGAAACAAAGATAACAACATACAGAATCAATAAAACAGAGTTGTTCTTTGAGAAAATCAACAAAATATATAAACTAACTAAAGGCAGGGAGAGAACATCTGAATCAATATTCCAAACAAAAAAGTGAGAGACCTGTATGACAAGAACTTCAAGTCTTTGAAGAAAGAAATGAACAAAAATTGCAGAAGATAGAAAGAGCTTCCATGTTCATGGATTGGTAGAATTAACATAGTACAAGTGGCTATTTGACCAAAAGCAATTTACAGATTTAATGCAATCCCCACTAAAATTCTAATACAATTTTTACAGACCTTGAAGTAATAATACTCAACTTCATATGGAAAAATCAAAAAATCCAGGATAGCTAAAACAAGCCTGTACAATTGAAGAACTTCTGGATGTATCACCATCCCTGATTTCAATCTCTACTACAGAGATATAGTAATAAAAATTATATAGTATTGGCATAAAACAGACAGGTGGGTCAATGGAATTGAATTGAAGACCCAGGTGTAATCCTTCAACAAAGAAGCCAAAATTATACCATGGGAAAAAGAAAAAATTTTCAACAAATGGTGCTGTTCTAAGTGGATGTCAGCATGTAGAAGAATGTAATCAATCCACATCTATCACCCTGCACAGAACTCAAATCCAACTGCATCAAAGACCTCAATGGAAATTCAGATATGCTGAACTTGATAGAAGAGAAAGTGGGGAATAGACTTAAACACAGCAGACAACTTCCTTAACAGAACACCAATAGCACAGGCACTTAGATCAACAATTAAATAAATGGGACCTCATGAAACTGAAAATTTTCTGTAAGGCAAAAGACACTGTCAATAGGATAAGACGGCAGCCTAACCAATGGGACAAGATCTTCACAAATCTCACATCTGACAGAGGGCTGATTTCCAAAATACATAAAGAACTCAATATCAACAAGCCAAATAATCCAATTAAAAATGGGGACAGATCTAAACAGAAAATTTTAAACTGAAGAATCCCAAATGGCTGAGAAACACTTAAAGGGATGTTCAGCATCTTTAGCCACCAGGAAAATGCACATCAAAACAACTCTGATATTCCATTTACACCTGTCAAAATGACTAAGATTAAAACCACAAGTGACAGGTCATGCTGGAAAGGACGTGGAGCAAAGGGAACACTCCTCCGCTGCTGGCAGGAGTGCAAACTTGTACAGCCACTTTGGAAGTCAATGTGGTAGTTTCTCAGAAAACTAGAAATCAACCTACCACATGTCCCAGAAATATTGCTCTTTGGCACATACCCAAAGGATGCTCAATCATACCACAAGACACTTGCTCAAATATATTCATACCAGTTTCACTTGTAATAAACAGAACCTGAAAACAACCTAGATGTCCTTCAGCTGAAGAATGGATTAAGAAAATGTGCTACATTAACACAATGGAATATTACTCAACTGTTAAAAACAAAGACACCAGGAAATTTGAAGGCAAATATATAGAACTAGAAAAAAACATCCTGAGTGTGCTAACCCAGACCAAAAAAGACAAATATGGTATGTACTCATAAGTGGATATTAGCTGTAAAATAAAGAACTATGCTACAATCCACAGAACCGGAGAGACCTGGTAACAAGAAGGATTCAGGGGGGACACGCAAATCTCCCTGGGAAGGGGAAATAGAAGAAATTTCATGAGTGGACTGAGGATGGGTGGGGATGGGAATACGAATGATCACGTTATGGTGGGAGGGAGGAGAGTAATAAAAGTCTATTGGAAAGGGTGGTGCATTGGGTCAGGTAAAAACCAAGTGCAAGGGAATCTCCCAGGAATCTACAAGGATAGAAAAAGAAGAGGGAGGGGAAACTGTGGCAGAGACGTAAAATGAACTAATGAATATATATATTTCAAAAAATATAGTTACCAATTGTGCCCTTCGTTGTGTGGAGTCATGTGGAATATGGCGTAAGGGTCGGATTTCAATCTCCTGTGATTCCTGTTCTCTGGCTAATGGAAAGGAAACAGCAGAATGAATCGTGTTTGAGGATTGCATTTAGCCAAAAAGAAAGAATAGTCCTGAAAAAGAAATCCATAGAAATCAATAAATTAAAATGATCACAATTATACTTTGTCTCTTGTTAGAATTTGTGATGGAAGGAAGCCTTATTAAAATTTATGTACCTATTATAAAATGTTATGTTTACATACAATTTTTACCTTATGACTTCAATCAATATTGTTTTAAATAAAGAAAATGTACTTTTATTAAAAATCTTTTAGGTGTTTATATCGTTTTCTTCTTTCTTATTCTTTTTGATACTAGCCAAATGCCTAGCATGCTTTCCCACACACTGGGATTTCTCATTCACTCTGTAAAACAAGTCTTCCTTTATGGGTGTGAGTACTTTTCAGTCTTCTAAAGATATAACTGTCTCTCTTTCTCATCTCCAATGACAGCAGATGCCAAGGTTTACAGTTTGAGATGTTTTTTCCTCTTAAACTAATAAAATTGCACCACAGTTTCCCTTCATGTCAGTTTAAAATATTTATTAATGAAATTAAGAACCCAAAGAGGAAAAGTCACATTCTCTCTATTTAATAGGTTTAAATAGCTCTGGGGTCTATTTCCTCTCTGGGTGCCCCTGGCATCCTTTTCTAAGTCTGCTTTATTGAAGGATTCTACAATAATTCAAAAAGAGTTAGATACAATAGCTGGATAAATGAAAATCCGTGGAGTTTAACTTTGCCTAACTTAGTGTTGGTAAGTTATAGAAGATACTTCCTTAAAACAGCATTCAGAGAGAAGCCAGCATTAAAGATGGGAAATTAGACTGTCTCAGGGGACAAAGCTTAACATGGCAACATAGCACTGCAGAGGAGGAGGCTGATAGAGTTCCCCCATGGTTGAGGTTAGCATCACAGAAATCCTTAAAGGAGGAACAATGAATGTCATAAGAATGCTCCCCATCTCTACTACCTAATAGAGATAGTTCCCTATGGGCGAGCCTACATGCTAACCTAATGAACACTTAGTAAGGCCTATATGAATCCTAAAATGCCTGGCAATCTGCTTATGGAAGTAAAGAAAGATAGCAATAACCCAAGCCACTATTTTCCTCCAGCTTTACCAAGTGAAGATTAGATACATGGGGATTCAGGTAGAGAGACAGGATACTAATCCTTGGATTTCCCATTCCCACTTTTTCACTTACTGTTTAAGGTACAAAGTAGAAATAAAATGAGCACAGTGAAAAATGTCATCATTACAACCAAGATTATGCATACGTCCCATATCCAACTACTATACAATGGATATGCATCATCCAAAATAGAAGCTGGAAAAAAGAGAAAGAAATGTTAAGCACATTTTAAAACAAGTAAAATAGAGACAGGTATATATGCATAAATTAAGAAGCCCAAAAAGAACCCTAGTCAACAAGAAAGAGGAAAAGGAGGCTTTAAGTAACCTTCATTCCAGGGCGGGAGTAGGCCACCAATCAAGATTTTATGACAAAGCTTCACAGTTTGGGGGAGTCAAAGGGTTTGTGCAGTTGGTCTGAGCCATACATGTAAACTGTAAGATGTTCTTATTTTTACACAATTATCCACAAGAAGCTCACAGCATCCTCCTACTTATTTTTATTTTCTGATTTAGGAGTTACTAAAGCAAAATGTTGCAGGAAAAGCATAGAAGAAACACATAAGTCCAATGAGCAGTTGGATAAGACAACATTGTCTGTCATTGCAGCTAAGTAGAACAGCAGATTCTAATATGCAGCATACCAAGAATAGGATCATAACATTCAAAAGCTAAAAGTCAATCCATGTAAGTAACAAATGGGTAGGTGCATTGAAATGTGATATATGAAATTAAGAATGCAAAGTATGGGTTCAGCAATAGGTTATTATAATTTTAATTATTATGTTTGAATTTGAGTTGGAAATCATTTACACACAGAGGTGGAAAATATAGTAAGAAATAGAATCAAGTAGAAAGCTTGGATCCTTAGCCATCAAAAGACATAAAAGAAGAGCTAAACAAAGGAGAAAAGGAAGCATTTGATACAATGATAATAATCTTTTGGACATTAAAGAACATTCTAATAGAGGAAATTGTGGTGCCCAACAAATATTTATTTGAAAAATAAGAGTACTCTTACAGAGGGATGGATGGGTACATGTGATTGAGGGTGTACACACACACACACACCACACACACACACACACACACACACACACACACACACACACACACACACACACACAAAGTACCATTTGCACTGCCTGTATAATTTTGGATGTGTGTCCTTCACCGGAGTGTGGTTAACTTACTAGAGTCCATAGCCTTAAAGAAAACTGACTCTCCTTATCCCAGGAGTTATCAACTGCCAATACCTCTATAGATAAGGGTATGACTTCATGCCCATATCTGGCCCAAGTCTGCACAGGTCTTGTGCATATCATCTCAGGTGCTGAGTTCATATGTGTAACTGCCCTGAGGCATACAGAAAAAAAAAACATGTTCTTTGTGGTCATCTACCACTACAGCTCTCACAACCTCTCCACCTTGTCTTCTGCAATGAACTATGAGCTTTTAGATGAAGGTGGGATATAAATATCCTGCTTAGGAATGACCATTCAGACATCTTCCATGTCCCACACCGTGATCTCCATGTTGACCATCATTTACTGGGAATAGGGGCTTCTCTGATGATGGCTACCTGATGCACAATCTGGGTCTATGCTCTATGTGGTGGCTATGTACACACTGCATCTTACCTAATATCTGAAGGCCACTTCTCTTTCATTATGTTTGCTGTCCGCTTTAATGTTTCCACTGAGTTATTTCTTTTAATTTCAGTTAGTATAAATTAATCTATAAAGATGTTCTACTTGGTCTTTTGAAACATTCTCATATTTTATAATAGTTTTTCATTGTCTATTCATATTTTGAGTGCATTCTTCCATTGTTAAATAAAAAGATACATTTCATGTGCTTAATATACATAAGTAGTCTACATTACACAATCATTGCTAATTTTGAAAATTCTAAGCCTCTTTGACAACTGCTCCTCAATATATAATGGGAGAGCTTAACAATTCTCTTTGTCTTCAAATTTTTCATAGAACTAGTGCAAGTTAATAGCTGCAATTCTATTCCTTTTGCAAAAGAATTACTTTTTATTTTATGCATATGAGTGTTAGAGGCCAGAAGAAGTCTTCAGAACCTCTAAAATTGTAATTATGGTGAGTTGTGGGCTGCCATACGGATGCTGGAGCAGAATCCAGATCCTCTTAAAGAACAAGTGCTTTTAATCAATTAGCCATCCCCTCAGCTACTAAATTCTATTGTTTGTAGTAGTCCATGGGATGTACTATTTTACTTGGTAAAATTTTTCACAAACTATTTCAGTGTTCACTACTTTGGTCTCCTTGGATGAATGTTGATATTTCTATGATACTCCTCCTTATGAGTGTTCTAAGAACTAGAATTAGTCCACTTAATCCTGATGTAGACTTTAAAACCAGGGTATCATGACATCAACAGAAACATAAAGATGGATGAAAGAGGGGTATAGGGAGAAAAGATTCATATATGTTTATATTTTCTATTCCTCAAAATATTTTTCTTGCTTTCTCAGTGCCCAAAATAACTTTAAAATTACATAGCTGTATAAGTGTTAGATGGATAGAAAAATGTATTGTAATCATAAAGACTGGCTTAAGACAGTATACTCTATAGTGCTAAAAGTTAATTATGTCTTCCATATATTTATAGAGTTTTGCTATTTTCCATTGACTCTTAGATAAAATTCCCTTTAGTTCATTTGTTTAGGATTTGAGACTTGTTTTTATGATTTGCAGTGTAATAGATTGAATGAGTTTCATTGAGAGCCATTCTGCAATATATGTTAAACCACAAGAGGGTATATCTTAATCTAACATATGAAACAATTTTGTATCATGGATGAGTGCAAATCACTTATAAATGATAATTAGATCTTTGGGCTTACTTTGCTGGTTATTTTTTTAAATAACTTCTAATATCCACATTAAATTGAAAGGAATTTCTAAATTTCCAGGTGCTACCCTATAAACATTCTGTTACAGTATGTAAATGAAATCAACAAGAAAAATGGTACTTGTTTTTTTTATTAATTATCAGAGGGGATCTCCAAACCAAAAGTATTTTTAATGTTTAGTAGTTGTTGGCTTAGTGTAAATGATAGGGGACACCAAAATATGTGCTTTGAAAAAGAATACCTGTACATGATGAAATGGAGGCCAGACCTGGAGAGATAAATCTTTTCATTGGCATGTGAGCAAATGTAACTGTGAATATGAACATGATAGAAGTCTAAAACTTTGGAAAATACATAGTTCCAAGGTTAGCAGTTGAAGCCACTGAGATGTCTCTGAAACCATGACTCCTAACTCTGCAACAGACTACCCAGCATTAAATAGTTCCTAGATGAGACGGCTCTGTGCTAAGGTGAGGTGAAATGACAGACCCCATTCTAGTTTCACTCACCTCTACTCCTGAACATCAAGTAGAGAGGGAGAAAGCCAATATACAAACCTAGCGGTAGACATTCACAGACAAACTCATAACAGAGTCTCATTCTCTTTGAATCTGAAAAGGAGTCAGTAAGAAGATTTAGGAATCTAAGACATTGGGAATACATTGGAAGATCAAGAGAAATGCTGAATATTGGCAGTGCTGTTTATTTAACTTATATCAAGATTAAAGCCTCATAAGCAAGACTTTTGGGGTTAGGAATTTTTAGTGATGATAGAACTTAGAATTGGGTGAAGCTAAGATTGTTGGCTATTTAGGATAAAGAAAGAGAGGCTTAAAAACAAAAACAAATAATAAATAACTTCTCTTTTTTCTCGTGACTGTGCAGCATGTAATCAGCCTGAAAGTATGACTTGGATGCTGTAGGACCCTGTTCATTACAGCTTAAGCGCCTAAAGGTTGTATAATCCACGGAGTTTCTGTGGAACTCGGAGCTAGCTAAGAAGGGAAGAAGCTGCCTTGGAAACCAAGATTTCAGCTTTTATAATGATTTTGTGCAGCCAGCAAGATTTCTATAGCATCCTTGCTGTTTAGCCATTCACTCATTATTCTCATAAGATTCTATGTATATTCTAGGAAGCTTACTACAGTGAGAAAGATTCCTCCAAGGCAGGATGTTGTTGTTTACCAAACCATGTCAATGCCAAACTGTTTACATTACTGTTTACATTACATTACTCTAGAATAGAGCTTGAAGTCAGGGTTGGTGATGCCTACAGAAGTTCCTTTATTGAACAGGATACTTTTGTTTTTCCATATGGAATTGAGCATTGTTCTTTTGAGGCCTGTGAAGAATTGTGTTGGGATTTATATGGGGATTGCATTGAATCTGTAGATTGCTTTTGGTGGGATTGCCATTTTTTACTATGTTCATCCTACCTATCCAAGACCATGGGAGGTCTTTCCATTTTCTGATATCTTCAATTTCTATCTTCAAAGACTTGAAGGTTTGTCATATAGGTCTTTCACTTGTTTGGTTAGAGTTACCCCAAAATATTTTATGTTATTTGTGGCTATTATAAAAGGTGATACTTCACCGGGCAGTGGTGGCTCCTTTAATCCCAGAACTCAGGAGGTAGAGGCAGGCGGATCTCTGTGAGTTCGAGGCCAGCCTGGTCTTCAAAGAGAGTTTTAGGACAGTCTCCAAACCTACAGAAAAACCCTGTCTCAAAAAAACAAGAAAAAGCAGGGAGGGAGTGATGATTCTCTGATTTCTTTCTTAGCCAGTTTAACATTTGTATTTAGGAGGACTACTGGTCTTTCTTTAGTTAATCTTGTATTGCACCACATTTTTGAAGGTGTTTATCAGCTGAAGGAGTTCCCAGATAGAATTTTTGGGGTCACTTACATATACTGTCATATCATCTGCAAATAGTTAAACTTTGACTTCTTCTTTTCCAATTTGTATCCCCTTGATCACCTTTTGCTGTCTTATTTCTCTAGTAGAACTTTGAATACTGTATTAAATAGATATGGAGAGAGTGGACAGCGTTGCCTTGTTCCTGATTTTAGTGGAATTGCTTTGAGTTTCTATCCATTTAGTTTGATGTTGGCTGCTGGCTTGCTGCATATTGCCTTTGTTATGTTTAGGTTTACCAAGTGGTGATTCGATTGAGAATTTTCTGTTTCCATGTAATTTATGTTGTAAATTTCTGTAATTTATGTTGTTTTTGAATTCTAATTTTAAGCCATGGTTATCCTGTAAGATACTGGGAGTTATTCCATTTTTTTGTATCTGTTGAAATTTGCTTTATGATTGAGTATGTGGTCAGTTTTAGAGAAGGTTCCACAAGTTGCTGAAAAGAAAATATATTCTTCTGTGTCTGGGTGAAATGTTTTATGGATGTCTGTTAAGTCCTTTTGGGCAATAACATCTGTTGGTTCCCTTATTTCTCTGTTAATTTTCTCTCTGGCAGACCTGCTCATTGGTTAGAATGGAGTGTTGAAGACTCCCACTATTAGTGCATGAGGTTTGATGTGTGATTTAAACTTTAGTAATGTTTCTTTTCCAAATGTATTTGGGGAATAAATATTCAGAACTGAGACTTTATCTTCATGAATTTCTCCTGTGATGAATTTGAAATGTCCTTTTCCATCTCTTTTGATTAATTTTAGTTTGAAGTCTATTTTGTTAGATATTAGGATAGCTACACCAGCTTGTTTCTTAGGTCCATTTGATTGGGAACTCTTTTTCCAATGATTTATTCTAAGGTAATATCTGTTTTTGAAGTTGAGGTTTGTTTCTTGTGTGCAGCCATAAGATGTATCCTGTTTTTGTACCCATTCAGTTAGCCCCTGTCTTTTTGTACATGAATTGAGTTCATTGATATTGGAAACTATTGATCGGCAAATCCTATTAATTTGGATTTTGGTGGTGGTAGTGTGTGTGTGTGTGTGTGTGTATGTGTGTGTGTGTGTGTGTGTGTTGTGTGTGTGTGTGTGTGTATGTTTCCCTTCTTTGGGATTGGCTGTGTTTTTGTGGGTCCAGCTAACTTTCTTGAGTTGGAGTTTTCCTTCTAACACTTTCTTTAGGGCTGGATTTGTGGGTAGGTATTATTTAAATCTGATTTCATCCTGGAATATCTTTTTTCTGTATATAGTGATTGAAAGTTTTGCTGGGTATAGATGTCTGGGCTGGCATCCATGGTCTCTTACTGTCTGCAAAAATGTCTGTCCAGCACCTTCTGGCTTTGATAGTCTCCATTAAGAAGTCAGGTGTAATTCAGATAGGTCTGCCTTTATATGTTACTTGGTCTTTTTCCTTTGCTCTTAATATTCTTGCCTTATTCTGTGTGGTTAGTGTTTTGATTATGATGTGGCAAAGAGACCTATTTTTGGTCCAGTCTATTTGGTGTTCTGTAAGCTTCTTGTACCTCTATAGGCATGTCCTTCTTTAGGTTGGGAACATTTTCTTCTATACTTTTGTTGAATATATTTTCTGCGCCTTTAATTTGGAATTCTCCTTATTCTATCCTTATTACTCTTAGGTTTGATCTTCTCATGGTATCCCATATTTCCTGGATTTTTTTGTGTTAAGAATCTGTTGGATTTAACATTTTCTTTGACCAGTGAAACTATTTCCTCTATTGTCCCTGAGATTCTTCCATCTCTTGCATTCAGTTGATTATGGTTTCATCTGTAGTCCCTGTTCATTTAGCCAGACTTTCCATTTCATTGATCCCTCATTTATTGTGTTCTTTAGTACCTCTCTTACTTTTTAATAACAGCTGATGGTAGCATGCGTTATTATTATCATTATTGTTATCTCCTGTATATTTTTAATTTTTTACTTAAATTAAAAACAATCTCATTTTCAAGTCTTGAACTGTTTCCTTCACCTATTTGATTGTTTTTTCTTGACTTTCTTTAAGGGATTTATTGCTTTCTTCTATTTTTTCTTTCCTCCATTTCTTTAAGGGATTTTTTTATTTCCTCTTTAAAGGCCTCTATCATCTTCATAAAGTTATTTTTAATTTAAAAAATTCATTTTACATACCAACTTTAATTCTCCCTCCCTTTTTCTTCCCCCTACTTCCCCATTCTACCTCTATCCACTCCTTAGAGGTGGTAAGGCGTCTCAACAAATTCTGGCATACCAAGTTGAGACAGGAAGAAGCCCCCTGCTCTTGTTTCAAGGCTGAGAAAAGTATCCTACCACTGGGAATGGGCTCCAGAAAACCAGTTCATGCCTCTGAAATAAGTACTGCTCTTATTGCCAGCAAGCCCCCCGAGAAAACAGATCAAGCCACGTAACTGTCACCCACATTCAGAGGGCCTAGTTCAGTCCCATGCAGGTTCCCCAACACCAACGTAAAAGGACATCATTGATGATGCCTCTGAAGGAATTCTGAGACCTTGAGATGAATTGTGATGATAGCTGCATACTAACTCTTAAGAACTACACAAGGAAGAAGTGTGGCAGTTTAACCTGAGGATTTCTGAAGATCTTGAGACCTCCTTTGACAAAAAGTACTGGGATGAACTAAAGTTCAGGGTTACGTGATTCTGTGTGCATCACATCTGAGTATTGGGTTTCAAAAAAAAATGGTCAGAACTATTTACCTTGCATGGATCTACATTTTTTCCTTAAGAAATAACAAACAAGTATTCCTTTGAGAAAATGAAGAGCAAGTATAAAGCTCAAATATATTACAGGACATGTAGTTTTGTTGGATATCAATGACATATACTCTGGTTTGAACAGGACATCTGAAAGAGAACAGAAAGACCTAGTGTTAGGAGTTGGATATACATTTCTAACGTAAAGATTCACATTACTGAGAAGTGTTTGGATCATGAGGGCTCTGACTTTGTCAATGGATTAATCCATTCATGGATTCATAATTTGATGGGACTTTTGGAAAATGTCAAAAATGTTAGTCAGTGAGATTGAGTAGATAAAGTAGGTAATAAGTAGCATGCTTTTGAATGATATATCTTGCCCCCTGTCCCACCTCCAATTGCTCTTTCTTGGCCGTCTTGGGAGTTGGTTATTACTTGAAACTGAGATAATCTAGGTACCTGAAAAGAAGGAAGATTAAATACTCGAGGAGGCTAGGGACACTTGCTTCAGTGACTGAAAGGAAGATGGCCACTGAGGCAGCTGTGGAGAGGAGGAGGGTCAGATATTGAAACACTGAGAAGTGTAGGCAGAAGGAATTCTGACCGTGAGCATCATGATGGTGAGAGCCAAGAGTAGGACATGAGAATTGCAGTAGCATTGATTTCTCCACATCTGGACCTATCTTTCTGCCACATGTGCTTACTGATTCTAATCTTCCTTTTACCTCAGAAGTTATATGTGCTATTTTTTAGATGAGAAAAAACAGTAATTTTAAAGGAGAAATAATATTCCAGGGCCTAAGTCTAGAAGTAGAAATCTGTGGAAGTCATATAGCTTTTGAATCCTTAACATGCAACACAGAATGAGAGCTCATTGGCCAATTATTTTAATACCTTCTTTAAGATTTATTTTCTATGTATATGTGAGAATAAATGTCTGTGAGTGTGTAGGTGCACATGCCTGCAGGAACATATGGGGACAAGAAGAGGGCACTGGATCCCGTAGAGATGAAGTTACAGGTGGTTGTGACCCATTTAGTATGGGGTCTAGGAACAAATCAGGCCCTCAAAGAGAACAAACCGCTCTTAACCAGAGGCTTCATTCCAGCCCCAATACCTTTTCCTCAAAATACTCTCCATTGTACTTTGGGAACCCAATCCACATACAGGGATACTCCCTGAGCCAAGACACACAGGGGTGGGCCTAGGCCCTATCCCAAGGAAATGATAGACTCTGATGTTCCCCTATGGAAGGCCTCACTCTCCCCTGGGGAGCAGAAAGGATATGTGATAGGTAGGGTATTAGTTGGGGCAGTGGTAGGGGAGGAGGGGAGGGAGTGGGAACTGGGATTGATATGTAAAACAATCTTGTTTCTAATTCAAATTTAAAAAAATAAAGGAAAAAATATTCTCCATTGCACCCAGATTTTTCTGATTTCCAACAACTCAAATGGTGAAACTGTAAAGCAGTTCATACCTTGTAACACAACTTCACATTTATTATTTAATCCAATTCTCTCCTTAATTTGAGTACTTGATTAAAATACTTCATCTCTGATAGAATAAAGCCATAAGAACTTACCTGGGAGGACAATACTTTTCTTTTTCTCCTGATTAGTAGTTTCATTGTAAATGGAACATGTAACAGGACCATGTGTCCTGTTTTTGAGAAGAATTCTGCTCTTCAAGTACAATAATCCAGTACTATCCTGAGAATCAAATTTTGATGAGTGTGGAATTATATTCCCCTTGCTGTCTCTCCATGTCATCTCAGCAGGTGGAATCAAACTTCCTGAGGTACACTCCACCAGTATCCCTTCTGCATCTGGAACTCGAATGTTAATCTGTATATCCAAGCTCGTAGCTAGGAGGAGGAGAAAGATGGCATTATGAATGGCAGAGTGGATTCAAGTTGGTGGAGGTACTCATTCTCAATAAGATGCTACCTGTGTCCCACATGTGTAAACATAAGCTGAAAATACACACAAACACAATAAGAGAAACACTGATAAATCAGACTTTATGAAATTTAGTAATTCCTATGCATCAGAATATGTGCAAAAAGAGAGAGCCACAGACTAGAAGATATCGTTACCGTATATGAGAAAGGAACAGTGTTAAAAATAGATGACAAGAGTTATAAATAAAATGGAAAACAGCAGAGACATATTTCATTTAAAGAGATATCCTAGTGACCAATAAGTATACGCAAGAATGTTCAACGTCATCAGCTATCAGGGAAAATGCAAAGCAAATCCTCATTGATTCATACTTGATCCCCATTACAGTGTTGAAGAAGCAAGACAAGTACTAACATTGCCACAGATTGTAAAAGTGTCAGTACATACTAAAGTTATACATATACCTATGTTCACAACCCAGAAATTTTTAGTAGATGTTTAGATCAAGGGCTATTGAGGTCCAGCCTCGATGTCCTGTCAGGGTTCAGAAGGAAGGCTATAGCCAGCATAAGGCTCAAGATGTCTGAGGGTGAAAAATATCTCTCATTCCATGCTTCTTCTTACCAGTTTCTTTATTGTTCTGCCGTGTTGCAAAGTTTCCAGTTTATATATACACATAAACAAAGGCAATTCTCTGGAAATTGCAAAGTTACAGAGATAGAATTTCTCAGGGTCATAAAGCAAATAGGAGCGTCCCTAACTGTCAGCAACTTTATGGCCCTAGGGAGGTGTGTCTAGAAGGATGCCCAGGAAACATAGAGGCAGAAAGGCAGATTTAGGAGGCCTTAAATCCTAGGAAGGGAGAAAGGGAGTTTGTGCATTAATCTATATTCCTAGGGGTTTGTGATAGATAACTGTAAAAGCAAACCGAGTAAGGATGAAGTGGTTAACAATCTCTTCTTGCCTGCAGGGCCATGGCACCTACAATCAGCATTAGTGTTGGTATGGTGACCAGTGGACCGCAGAAGAAGACTGTGGAGACTGGTCTGCATTAGCATTTTCGCCAATTTAGCTAGCTAAAAAGGACTTCCTTAGATCTACACCTATCACCTAGGTGATTAGAACAAGGAAGACATATGGTTATAGTATAAAATCCTGGGCCTGACCAAATGTAGTTGCCCAAGCCAAAAGGTGGTACTTTTCTCCAATGCCACTCATGTGAAAGGTGAATTATCTTACTCGGATGCTGGCTAATCAAGTGTAGGCTTTTTCTGTTATCTCTCAGGTTTAGGACACAGGCAGTAAATCTCCTAGGGTAAAGCCTTATATCCAGGACTGCAGAGATGGCTCAGAGGTTAAGACCACTGGCTGCTCTTCCTGGAGCCCTAAATTCAATTCCCACCACCCACATGGCAATTTGCAACCATTTATAATGAGATTTGGTGGCCTCTTCTGACCTAAAGGCATATATGAAGACAGAGCAAGGTATATACAACAAATAAATAAGTAAATAAACAAACAAATCTTTTAAAAAAACCTTATATCCAATAAACTGAAGTGAGGGTAGGTGTAGGGAATTAATAACCTTTCTAGGGCTAGAATGAGGGTAAACTGGGGTTAGCACTTTCCCAAGTCAGCAGTGAGAGAATTTAGGACACCCAATCTCCTATCAGAAAAGACCAAGAATCAAACAAGCTTGGACTTACCACTCTAATCTTGAAGGTCCCAAATTCAATCTATTTGAAAGAATCCTCTCCTGAACAAATGTCCTACCAAGAGGAAAATAATTGCAGGTAGATGGCTCCTAATGTTTAGCTCAGAGAATGGAGCAGAGATTAGACTGGAACCAACGTTTTTTACTACATGACCAAATTATCTCACTGGAGGTCCCATGGAGTAGGGGGAAGTCATCCAATATACCAGTACATGGGGAAAAATTGTGCCCAGTAATATTTACTCCTCAATCTTTTGGGACAGGTTCCACACAAAGAGGAGGGAGTACTTATGACTTCACAAGATTTGCTGTAAGAGCAGCCATAATACAAAAGGGGATACGCCAATATCTTGCGACTGGGACTCCTCCATCAGAATGCATTAATTCTGGTGGGTTGGCCTTTTGGTTTATCATCTGAAATCTCACTGCATAATCTTAAAGACTGTAGCATGTTCACAGATTTTAAAAATAATGACAGCATTCAGCATAACATCCCAAAAACTCAAAGTAAGAAAAATAATGCAAACAAATCAAAATACTAATACTGAAAACAAATCCAAAAGAACAAATTCCTGTCATATCATAAATGAATAATGGTAAATAATTTTAGCTGTTACGGATATTGTTATGAATGGAATAATACAATAATGTGATCAATCTACAGCAATGGAAGTTAGAACAATGACAACTTTAGCAATGAGAGCATGGTATTGACTAGAGAAGGTTAAGACAACATTTTGGGATGCTAAAAATATTCAGTATCTAGAGCTGAGGAATTGATTCATGAATATACCTATAAGCAAAACTTCATTGAGTTGTACACTTAATGTACTTTTCTCTGTGTAACATATATCTCATAAAGAAAAACAATGAATCCAACACAAAACCAAATTCAAATAGCTATTCCTATCTCTTCACTAGCTATTTTTGCATTTATATCACCATATTTTGAACACAGACACTGAATCAAGTTCTTTAGAAAGTTAAACTAGTATGCAAATAGCAAATAAACATAATTTCTAAAACAGATTTTAAAAATTAATATAGTAATACATTTGGAGTTCTTACTGTTAAAACTCTAAGTGATGTGATAATGAAGAATTATGTGAAAACTTCAACAACTTCCCCGGTGCAGACAAACTCAGAAACTGGATAAACTATAAAACTACTTCCCAAAATTAATTAAAAACACAACAAAATAAGCATCCACTGGAGGATCAAAACAGGGAAACTACTAGGTGCAGAGAGATAGTCAATGTATCTGCTTCTGTAGCATTTACTTATTGGGGAAAGGAACTAATTATTTTATTTCCTTTAAATAATTTAAGATGATGATTAATGATCAGAATTTTCAGCCCAAGTGGGTAAACATGATGTTGGGTCAACCATCTCATATTCGGGTGAATACAGGAAGAGAGAAAAGAAACAAAGGAGCAGTTTGGAGGCCTGTAGGAGCTAGGGGAGCTCTTCATGAAGGAAGTTTTTCACCAGCCAGTGCAGATACCTCACTAACAAGAAGATGCTGTGGATTGTGCTCCTGTGAGGGCCACACCAAAGTAGAAGGAAGTATTTTAGGTAGACACAAAAGTGTCAGTACTCTCTAGAAAACTCAGTCAATCCAATAAAGTGTAATTAAATAATATAGATAATGTAGAGTTACATGTGACTTGATAGATCAATACTAAAATTTTCATACACACATTTTACATATATGAAGATTCATAGTAATAACTAAAATTGCAAGCGTTGAATTTGTATATAATATCTTGAAATAATAACAAATATTTCTTTCTTATTTTAATGGTATAAGCTTCTTTAAATATCTTTTATTATTATTTAATTGAGCAGCATAATAGTTAAGTAGATGTATTTTAGAACATAGAAAAAATGATTCTGAGTGGCCACAAGATGGAATTCTCCACAACCATAAATAGGAAAGCAAAATATTCATATAAAATTACTTAAAACTCATATTTTAAAAGCAATTTGAAAAACATTTATAGAATTCACTTGAAATTGTTAAAAATTATGTGGATGCATAAGTATTTTCATATACTATGTCTGCATGAATTTCTATATGTATACACACATATAGGTGCATGTTTTATACTTGGTGTGTATATGGCTATTTCTATATATATAAACTCAGACATTGCTATATGAGAAGTAAATTATTTTAGTTTCATTTGAGAGATTAATTCATGATTTCATAGCAATGTAAAGGATGACGACATTTCACAATGGATTTATTGGAATTTTTTTAATTTATTCACTCAGGGGAAGCTACTACCCCGTCATCTACTAAACATCCCTCTATGGAAAATGGAGATCTTTCCAGAAACTGTAGCTAGACACAATGCAGAGATCAAAAGATCATGGGAAGGAAGTCCAACCCAGAGGCTGCATCTACATTATAGCTCCTGATTCTACAACTCAGGGAGCATAGCAGAAGCAGAGGGTGGAAAGATTATAAGAGCCAGAATGCCAGGTCTTCATTGAGACAGTCTCTCCTAGAAATGATTAGTAGACAAGACTAGAACAATGGCAATATCAGCAGGCATATTAATGTTGAAGGAGGAACTTTTGAGGGCCTCCCCCAAAAGAAGCAACTAATGATTGCTGGGAGAAGGAGCCCCTTTATTGGTTGTCCAATGCAGAATGGTAAGCCCTGAGACCATATACACACAAATAGCACAAAAACATTCAACAGGTTATATTTATATATTTGTGAATGTATATGTATATATATGTTCATGACAATAATAATTAAAGAAAAAGAAGCTATCAACTTGAAATTTGGAGGAAGGACACAAGAGGAATTGAAGACAGGATACCCGGGAGGGGATGGTGGGGAGAAAGTGCAGTAATTCTGTTTCAATTAAAAACATATTGCAGATAATATTCTTATTTTTGGAATTATAGTTATAAAATTTCCTACCTTTTTTATTCCTCCAACCCCTTCCATGCACCCCGCTGCTCTCTCTGAAATACATGGCTTCTTTTTCCTGAATTATTGTCACAAATATACTCTTTTGGGTAGTTTGTTTTGTTTGGTTGTTTTGCTTTTGAAACAGGGTCTTATTATGTAGTCCTGAATGGCCTGCAACTCTTGATGTACAACAAGCAGGCCTTCAGCTCACAGAGATCTACCTCTCTCTGCCTCCCAGGCTTTAAGATTAAACTGTCACTTTATTGACAGTTTCCTTTGCTAACATAAACTATGGGACTTTGTGAAGCCCTATGCTACTGTATGGTGAATGCAAAGATTCGTGGGTGCTAAGATATACTAAGTGATAGATAAAGGTCAGAGAACACTGGGGAAGAGAAAGCAGAGAAAATGTAAGAGTTGGGTGATAGGAAAAAACTGCTACAAAATTCTATCTTAAAGAACAACACAACCATTGCAAACACTATCTCACAGCAGCTTCAGTAGCCTGCACTGAACCTGCATGAGACTGAGCCTGTCACCATCATTCAGGAAATTACTCATCCCCATGAGTCCTACCCCTCCGCCAATGCTGAACTAACGGCTACTGATGGACTTTAAGGCGGAGACAGTCCTAAATTTGTGGGCACACTGATGATCCTGGTTAAAAATGGTGGGCTACAAAACAAAGCAAAAAGCAGGAATGTGAGAAGGGGGCATTTTGGGAAAAGAGGGAACGGCAGGGTGAAACGGGAATGAGAGAAGGTTGGGAGGAGAGTACGCAGAAGTAAGCATTATGAAACTGTGAAAGAATAAATGTAATAAACAAACTAGGGAGGGTATCTCTACCTTGGGTGGGTACTGTGATTTGTAAGAGAAGAAAGGCCATGAAGAATCCAGAGAAACATGAAGCTGCAGGCTCCATCACACCTGGAAAATGAACAGAGAAGGGCAGTAAGAGAGCATTCTGAAATTCTATCATGTATTTAGAACCAGCGAGTTATACGTGGGAAATTATAGTCATGATCTTTTTAAATTACCTTTTTAAATTACCAAGGACAATCTTGGCTTCTACTCTCCCTGTAAAATGTAGCAATTGACTTACTCTTACTTTAACTATACTTCAAAATGAAATAACTACATTCTTCATAATTATCAGAATCACATTTTTCATTATTACCAGGTGCTCAAAATGATTAATGGTATGCATTTGCCATTGTGCTCCTCAGTATACTTCTATTTGTTTCTCTATGCTAATTTTAAACTAATGAAAGTTAATAGGAAAATACAGTCTGAAGCAATAAAGACCTACAATGTGCATTTCTTTGCTTAAATACTTAAAAATATCAAAGAAATGAAAGGGTAGTAAAAACAAAAGTCTTGACAGGATAGAAAGACTCTGAAGTCAAGAATAAGAGTAGCATATTGTGCAGAGCATATGGGCAAGCAAATAAGCAATGACCATGATGGGACTCTTAAAAATGATTTAAATGTTCCCACATCCTTCACCAAAGAAAGAAGAGGACAGATAAATGAAGGATACACACAATGTAGAAAGAATATTATATGACTACATTGGAATCTGAACATCAATCAGCTATGTCCTTTTTACTACAGCAATCACTGATATGTGCTATGGACGTATCACAATCAGTAGGATTTTTGTGAGAACTCTGAGGAACAGATGTATCCAGTATAGTGTAAAAGGAACCCACTCTGGCCCTGAATCCAGAGCCAGTGAAGGAAATGTGTCCTGCCCTGAAACTAAAGCCAAAAGGTTAGAAAGGGTCAGTGAAAGAAATACAGTTTGGCCCTAAAACCAGAGCCAAACCTGCACCTGACCAACTGTATATGAAACCAAGCAATCCCTGAGCAGGAAACCAACTATTCTCTGAGCATGAAATCTAGAGCCCTGAGCCAGTGAAAGAAACACACCGTGGCCCTGAAACCTGAGCCAGTAAAAGAAACACTTCATCCCTGAACCCAAAACCCAAGAAACACACCCTGACCCTGAAACCAGAGTCAAAGAAACACACTTTGGCCCTGGAGCCAGTACCAGTGAACCCTGTCTCTGAAATTAGACCAAAAGACTGAAAATGGCCAGTGAAAGAAACACACTTTGGTCCTGAAACCAGAGACAACTCTGCCCCCCTCCACTACCAACTAAACCTACCAATCCCTGAGCAGGAAAATAAACCAATCCTTGAGCAAAAAATATGTTCTCCCTGGAAAAACTCTGCCCCTAAGAAGCCCTATATAAGCCCTTCTGCCTGTTAACTTGTTTACTGTCTTTCTCCACCCTGGTAGAGGTAGCCACTCTCCTAGACTACTTCTTCCCAAATAAATCTATTTCTTATGGAACTCGAAGAAACCATTCTGAGCGAGGTAACCCAATCACAAAAAAAGACAAACATGATATGTACTCACTCATATGTGGATTTTAAACAGAGAGTAAGGGATTACCATCCTACAAGCCACACTGCCAGAGAAACTAGCAAACAAGGAAGACCCTAACAGAGACAAACTTTGTCCCCTGGAGAAGGGGAAAGGGTCACCATGCCCTGAGCAAATTGAGAACATGGGAAGAGGGGGTTGGAAGCTAGGAGAGTGAGAAGGGGAGAAAAGGAAGTTTGCAGAGGTCATGAGGAAGCAGAAATTTTGAGTCAGGTGTAGATTAGAAGAAAGGACATATGATAGGTAGGATTTTAGTTGGGGGGGTGGTAGAGGAGGAAGGGAGGGAGAAGGGAACTGGGATCGTCATGTAATTCAATCTTGTTTGTAATTCAAATATATAAAAAATAAAAAACTAGAAAAAAGAGTTTTGGGTGAAGATCCTCTTTCACTGGCATGAAGCAGAATTTTTGCTGAGATATTATTCCCTTAGGGAAGCTGAGCAGAAAAAGTAGCAACTTTTCACCAGAAATGGAGAAGATTGCTACATTTCTGCAGGGGTTTCCTCTTTAGCAGAATGAAGCAAAAAAAAACAAACAAAAAAAAAACAAAAACAAAAACATCTTGGGCTCCCTTATGGGGTTGTAGCAGAGCTCAGCTGTAATGGTGACCTCCTCTCTCTGCAAGAAGCAGAATTGTTTGTGGGGAGACCATCCCCCACCACACTCCATTGTCAGGTATAGCCCAACTTCTCAACAAGTCAGGATACCTTTCTCCTTACAGCTGTAGGTATCCAGGATACCACTCTGATGGGGGAGGTCCGTCTGTGTATATATTTGTCTTATTGGTTGATAAATAAAGCATTGTTGGCCAATAAGGAAGCAAGATAGTCAGGACTGGGCGAGAAGGAGGATTCTGGGAAATGTAGTGAAGAGGAGTTGCCATGTGATCCCAGGAAGAGAGGATGCACTAGGTAAGATAAGTCCTTATAAAAATATATAGATTGGTAGTTGTAGTTGATAATTAAGACTGAGCTAGCAAATAAGAAATCCTAGTTATTGGCCAGCAGCATTGTAACTAATATAAGGCTCTGTGTGTTATTTGGGGCCCTAAAGCCGCTGCAGAACCCAGGCAGCTGGTGGAAAGAGTTATTGTTACACCTCCCTTCACAGCTGCAGGTATAGCTTGACTTCCCAACAAGTCAGAAGTCAGAATACCTTTCCCTCCACGAGCTGTAACACTTGCACCCAGCAGCTTATTTCTCCATTCTGACTTGTATATCCCCTTTCAAGAGAAAGTTGAAGCCTTGTATGTTTAAGCTCATCTTATGACTAGGGTCCACCAATAATGCTCAAGTAAGCATGAGTTTCAGGTTGACTTAACTCTCCGTGAAAATAAAACATGAGGCAATGTTGTTATTTATTATATGACCTGGGTCATTTCAAACAACTATGATAAAGAAATTACCAAAAGTGTCATAGTGATATGACATAGGGAAATACTGTGGACTGTGTTCTGACTCGTTGAAAGTGGAAACTAAGGGACCTTCCTTATTTTGATAAAGTTTTTTTTAAAAACCTTGTCTTAAATTTCTTATAAACATTCTTTTAGTGAGAAAAAAATCTTTAAAATCTTTCTCTCTAATTCTGAAGAACTAAATATTTTATCTACCACCATGAAAAAATAAAGGCACCAGTTGATAAATATCTCAAAAGAAAAAGGAAATTAAATAAATATAAATAATATGATAATGTAAACAGAAGGCAATCAGAAAACTACTTAATACAAATGGGCATAAAATAGTAATCTTCCAGTTTCAAGAAAATTAGAAATGCATTCAATCTTTTCACAGTTTAAAGATATATTATGTCAGTATAGCTGAGTAAATATATTATATTCAAAGATAGTATAATACTAATAATTCAATTTACAGATACAAATTACCTTCATATTAAATTGTATATTCAATAAAATTCCTACATAATACTATCAAAATACTTTAACCTTTATTTTTATTTTATTAGTGTTTTGCCTGCCTGCATGTCTGTTTGCCACATCACAGTGCCTTTTTAGGCCAGAATAGGAGGACAGATACACTGGGACTGGAGTTACAGACAGTTACAAGCCATCATGTGTGCTGGAAACTGCCCCTGGTTCTCTGCAAGAACAGCAAGTGCTCTGAACCACTGAGCCATCTGTACAGTTCCATGATGTCAGAAAACTGGGAGCAATGGAGAAGCTTAATCTTAAAAATATTTGAAAGAGAAGGAAGTAAATGTTGACACATGCAACACAAATGAAATTTTGGCATATTCTTCCATAAAGAAAGATGGTATGTTAGAGAGAGGCTGTGGAGTTCAACCAAATAATCACTTTGAAACCCGTTAAGTTGAAGCATTAAATTGTGGCATAGGTATTGAGTTATAATGGAGCAATGTCACATATTCGCTTCTAGCCTATAATGAAGCTTCACTTGAATTAAGTAACACTTGAAAACTTGTATAAATAATTCAGAATGCTTTTAAACACATACATATATATAGTATATATATCATATACGTATATGTCAGGAATTTTGCATTTTAATATCTTTAAGTTATAAACTAGAAAAAGTTCAATATAGTCTATGGTCATACCACACTGAATGAGCGTGATCTCATCTGAAAAAAAGTTCAAAATGGTTTCAAGATAGGAGATTTGGGGGTTTTGAGCATATCTAGAAATGATATAAAGATAAAAATAAAAAGAATTGAAACAAAGAGAAAGGGGGAAAGATTGCTCAAAGATAACTGTGGAACCAAAAACCAACCTGTCTCTAATTTCCCACCTACTGAAGAGGAAAATACAGAATGTTGCTAACCCAGAACACCATATTAAATATTTAAATAAATTAAAAATTATCAAAAGCAAAACTCAGCAAGCAAACCATCAACTGATCTCTAGGTTTGATACTGTGGAAGATTTTGGGACTCTATACAACCTTATCTGGTATCTAGTAACTAAATGCCTGACTATGACTAATCACTTTTTCAGGGTAATATAGAACCTATGTGAGAAGTTAGGAGATGAAGTGAGCTTGATCAACTTTGGCTAGACTTTGCTGTGCCTCATTGGAGAATCTTCTGATGGCTATAGTGATAATGTGTGTGGAGCTCTTGTTAATGTCAGCATTAACCATAATAACATAGCAGTATGGAGTCCTGAGTGTGAAAACAGAATCAGTCCCACCCATAGAAAAGGCAAAAAAGGAAAGGTTAGGTCTTGCTCCAAAGACAGTGGTTGGATATCAGTCACAAGTAGACACTATGAAGAGCAGCTCCAGCACTACAAATAGGTTTGCTATTAAAGAAGACACCTTCTAAGTATTCTCACTGGAGAGTATTCTCACAAGCAACTGAGATAGATAGTTGAAGCAAACCTCATCAAAGCAGAGTGACTACACTGAATCTTGATTTTATGTAAATGTTGCTAAGATATAAGAGAAGTTTCATTCACCTTTGTCTTGTACTTCTGTGCTCATTTTTTCTAGAGTGT